TGTGAGCAGTGGTGCATGTATGATTTTTTCCTGGTAGCAGCATGTTCCTCAGCACATTTCCAGTTAACAGAACATGCACAGGCTGACAATTCTATGTAGGAATGGTACTACGTATGATCATATGGCAGATGTACAGCTCTCCTATGCAACCAGATTAGGGTTATCTCCACCTTTGCTAAGAGCTAAAACCTTACTGAGTTACTTAGTTTGTGTTGTCTCACCCTTTAAAAAAGTAAAGTTATGTGTAGTCTCATACTTGTGGCTCACAGCACGCATGAATAGATAATGGGTGTTTGCCAAGATGTGACTTCTGCCTGAATGTCTTTTAAAGAAGGGATCTACTGCTCAAGAAGCAGAAAGTGGGTACTTCATAGAATCATAGAATGGTTTGGGTTGGAAGGGACCTTAAAGATCATCTAGTTCCAACCCCCCTGCCATGGGCAGGGACACCTTCCACTAGACCAGGTTGCTCAAAGCCTCATCCCGCCTGGCCTTGAAGACATCCAGGGAGGGGGCATCCACAACATCTCTGGGCAACCTGTTCCACTGCTTCACCACCCTCTCCATGAAGAACTTCTTCCTGATATCTAATCTAAACCTCCCCACTTTCTATTTCAACCCATTACCCTTTGTCCTGTCAGGCCATTGTAAAAAGTCCCTTCCCAGCTTCCTTGTAGGCCCCTTCAGAAAGTGTGTGCTCTAGCAATAGAGAAGACCTCACACCCAGGCTAGATGAAGGGTGCTTCTATGAGCCTGAATGAAGGCAGAGACATTTTATGCTCACTGGTCAGTGATGCCCTCTTCTTTTCTCCCTGTTCTTTCACCTTCACCAAAATTTTTTTTTAGGAAAGATACTCTGCTTACTTAAAAGCTCCTAGTTGGCGTATTCCATTGCTGTTACTTAAACACCAAATGAAAAGCAAAGCAGGCATGGTTTATGTACAGTTTTCTACAAGGGAACTGAAAAGAGACAAGGACGTTGCCATTTTATAAAATGGCGATGTTTTGTCAAACTCCACCTGCTTCAGTGTCTGTAGTCAGGGAGATCAAGTATTGCAATAACTGTTGAAGGTTTAGGAGAAAACTTTGCCAGTAAGACATTCATATACATTGTTATTAGGGTCTGTAACTGTACCAAAAATAAAAACCAAGGCTGTGATTAGTGAAGTTTAAGTAATACATTCTTGTTTTCCTTGTGGTTTTTCATATTGCAGAATTTGAGGGTAATCTGAATTTGAGAGTGTTACCTCTTGAGTGGTTTGGTTCTTTCCTGCTTGTAACTGTTTTAACTTCCTTCAAGAAGAATATTTGTATCCAGATTTATGAAATGTGCCTTATAGTACAGCAAGTTATTTGATAAACAATGAAACTAATACTGCTGTCCTTTGAGTCCAACATCTCCTACACTCCCAGTCACACAGCAAGAACCTCAGGTTTACCAATAGTTCTGTTTATTGCAATGCACCCTGGTACTCCTCCCGTGCCTGGAGTCCTCTTTTGCAGTACTTTTGCTCCCTTCCCATATTTCTTAAGTTCCTTGTCTTCATTCGTCTTTGCTGTCCTCACTACTCCAACCACCCCTAACAGTCACCCCTTTTCTAAAGGTCTGTTTTGGTAAGAGTTACCAAATGCTGAGTCTGGTTTGCAGCCTTGGGCTCTGGTTGCCAAGCTCATGAGTTCATCTCAACTGAGCAACGGGGGAGGAAACTCCCGCAAGGTCTGACCTTCCTTTGCCATGTGTGTGCCAGGCAGCGGTGGTGGTAGATGTCACCAAGTGCTGCATTCACTGCACAGCTCCTGTTGCTTATTAAAGGTGCACAAACCTAGTATCTCTGTTGTAAATTTGGTAGAAAGTTGCCAAAGAACGCAAAGGCTGAGTGCATGAAATTCACTTATGTCAGGCTTGGGGAATTGCTAAATAGCTTTAATATTTTCCATTTTGTTTTTTTAATTTATCATGTGAAGTAACATTGAAGTTAGCAATTTGATTTATACTTAAGTCTCTTTTTCTTTGTTTCTCCATATTACGCATAACAAAATCTGGATCATAGCAAATCAGCAGCCTTGTTAGTGACACTTCTTCATCAGCAGACTGGGAATTCTCTGAGAGCAAGTATTTGCACTCTAGAATGTTGTGTTCTAATAGCTTTCTAAGGGGCATGCTCTAAAGAGCTATGCTTGAAGCAGAATAAACAGATGTGCTCTAACACCTTCTGAAAGTTGAATGCCTTCAAGACATATCAATGGCAATTCATAAACATGGTGTTCACTCTATTAAATAACCTGATTAAATCTGCCATATCAAAATCAAAGTTCAGAACTTCTATATCCTCTGCCTTTTCCTTTTCATCTTTCAGATGTGCTTTTCCTACAAAACCAAAAAAGCAGAAATTACTTACAGAGAATGCAATGCCTCAACATTGGTTTTTTTTTTTTTTTTGAAAGTGTCTTCTGGGCAATAAGAGGTTTTCATTTCACTGTGAGACTTCCATCAGGTGCTGGAACAAAAAGATCAAATAGTCTTTGGGTTTGTGAACCCAGAAAAGCAATGAATGGACATTACTGGCCTACAGGATTAGATACTGAGACCAAGACATAAGCTACTGAGGTGATCTCAAGTCTAGACAATCTGTCTTGAGAAAAGTTAAAGATTGCAACTTACTTAGTGTTTAGACAGGATTTTTTTTAAAGCTATTCCGTATAGTTGGAGGTTAATACAAAGCAGTTTATAAATTTTTGATGAAAGATTGGACCTCTGCCAAAAAACCTGATTCACTCAAAAGTGTCTTTTTATCATGTGGTTTTGCAATGCCCAAATATCACTTGAATTTTTCAATCTACAGCTGGCACATTTAAATGCTTAATTACAGTGCAGTTTAGGGATGTGATGCATCCAAGTGATGAAGCCTGAGTCTTCCCTTCTGCAGCACCACACAAAGGTCTCCACTTTGTCCTGCCACCAACATGCCTCATCAGCAGTGCCTGTCCAGAGGCTGGGCACTGACCTCTTGCTGAGCACAAAACTCCCTCAAGGCATGTCCTGGTACCCTGAGACTTACTATTGACATACTTTCTCTCACCCCGCTTTTTTACTTAAACACCGTAGCATCCCAATTTTACTCTGCCATCTGCCATTAGATACAGCAAATGTAATTTGCATGCAGCATGCTGAGAGCTACTTAAATGACAGCCCCCTTTTAGATATCCTGTTTGTGTCTGACCGTTCAGAAGATTTAAAGAGCAAAAAGAATTTCTGAGAAAAATGGCTCAGGATTATTTTTTTTTTTAAGTTAACATTTATTATTTTAATTGTTGATGCAATTACCGGCCTTGAGACATGCTCATGGTCCTGGCAGACTCACAAATCCTTGAGTCAGAATTCAGTTCTAGCCTACAAATGGTAATCTACTAATCTCACACCTTTGATCTAGCCCGTGCTGCAACATTAACATGGACAAGCTAAAGAGGTGTGGCTGGCAGAGGGATGGGTAAGAAGTGAGATTTTAAATGTAAAAGTTCAGTTATTTAAAATGGAGAAACACTTGTGCCCCCAAACTGACACTGTCCCTTTAATAAAATGGCTTGGTCCCACTCAGCCCTGGCTAAGTGCCTGACTATCTTCATTTAAACTTTGACCAACTAAACAGCAATAATGGACCTTACAGGATCTCGATGCAAGGTAGAGCCATTTACAAGTGGATAGGCTATTTATTTACAGGTGGCTTTATTTTTGTAAGTGAAACATATTTTCCAGTGTGACCTCCTGGACATATTTTCAACACTGACAGTTTATTCAATCTACAGTTTGCTTTCTGAATGCCTTCAAAGGTAAGAGACTTATTTATTTCCTTCCTATTTTCAGAGGACTGCACTGGTGGTTTCTGTATATGTAACTGCTTGATGGACTTGAAAAGAGGATGTAGGAAGGATATGTAAATTTAATAATGAAGATACTATATTAATGATATTTAAAGTGAATTATTGTAAATTACAGTCATTTTTTGTAAATCAGTTTTAATGGAGTTCAGTTTTCTCTAGACATACATTGAATTGCTGACTTAAATGTTGTGATGTTCATTTTATTAGTGTGTATTGTCATTAGAATATTCTCTTTATGGAAAATATTGCACACACTCTGTTAAAGCCATGTAATATTAATAATACATTCATGTATTGAATTTCATTACTAAGCCACTGTTTCTTAGAAGAATAAGTTGTTCATACTGATACTCCAAACCTAGGTAACGTATTTGCATCCCAAAACATCCAGATCTTTGCTTATTCCTAACAGTCAGGGATTTCTAGAAACAAACTTTATTTTATGTTTTCTATAATATTTCTGCTAATTTAATATAATTAGTTTGATCACAGGGTATGTTAATAAAAATATGCATTAGTAACAATTTCTTTTACCCTTTTTTGTTAGCTATTCAAATGAAAGCTAAAGAGAGCACTGCCTCTTTTTAAGCAAGAAAAGGAAGCACTGAGTTTGTTCTGCTCATATTTCTTCTCTAATAAAACAGGTTCTAATATACATGTGAGCTACAGTTGGGATTGCACTGGCTGCTATGCTTAAATCACTTACCCAGTGATTTCTTATAACTGTTTTTTTATATGTTGTCTCTAGAACTGTGCTTCCCACAAATGTGTATTCTGTATTTGTTTATTTTCATCTTTTAATGAAGTATTCACAGGTGTTTTTCTACTTTTAGCAGGAAGGAAAAGTCATCGAATTTGGGATCAAAGACACTATGTGGAAAAACCATTTTTTCTTTTGCTTTTTGCTTCTGGCTGTGACAACAAACCACATAGTATGTGGGCAAAACAGAAAGAAAGAAAAGAATTCTTATTCTCTTGTGCAAAATTATGAAGGTGAAACCATTTATGTAAAATTCCTGATTGACCATGTCATATGTCTCTACATATTTCAGGATAATTAGCTAGTAATTGACAACGTATGCATTTATAAAATTTATTTTGATTATCAGGCCTTGAAAATACTGTGGTGACATTTACTTGATCATGGACTCCAGTTTGATGTATGATTTTCACTGATATGCATATCTCTTAAGATAAATGATAAGGAACCTAATTGTAGTTTGAAATTGCACATGGAAAATTTTGTATACAAAGAAGTCAACTAAAATATTAATCCTATCAAGACCCTAATTTGAAAGTTTTTTTCTGTAGACTGTATTTAACTGGTATGGATTAAATTTAAGTTCAGTTTCAGTACTTGACTTCCTAGAATTTCTTGACATTTGCAATGAAATTTATGCTTAGAATTTTTACTGGGAAAACAGAGGAATCTTGGGGAAATAATTTGAGGATTGGGATTGTTGCAGAGAATTATCTGAAATCTGATGTGTCCATCATTCATAGATTTAACTTTCTTGTTCCCTTACAGGCAATATGTGTCTCATTGATATAGTCTTTATCTTGGACAGTTCAGAAAGTGCCAAAAATCAGTTGTTTGATTTACAGAAGAATTTTGTTCAAAACTTAATTGACAGCATTTTCCAGATGAAGCCAGTTAAGTCTCAGAAGTATAATGTCAAACTAGCAAGTATGCAGTTTAGCAGCACAGTCAGCATTGATCATCCCTTTACAGCCTGGAAAAGTGTGCAGACTTTTAAAGAGAAAATCAAGTCTCTGGGTTTTATTGGCCATGGCACCTACTCCTATTATGCAATTTCCAATGCCACTCAGCTGTTTAAAACTGAAGGTCGTAAGAGAAGTCTGAAAGTGGCTTTTTTGATGACTGATGGTGTTGATCATCCAAACAGCCCTAATGTCGAGGGTATAGCCACAGCAGCTAGGAGTCTTGGAATACATTTTTTTACTATTGGCCTTTCTAAGAATAAAGTCCAAGAAGAAAAATTGCGCCTGATATCTGGTGATTCATCTTCTAAATACATCTTATGCCTGGATGATGAGAACCTGGTAGTTGATGTAGCATTGGAACTGGTAAGTAAAACTGATGTTAATCTTGACACTTGTCTGTCTGTCGCAGATTTCATTTAACTTTGATAGCCAAGTCCTGAAGGCAGTGCAGTGGTTTGCAGGTGAACCAGGGCTGGAGCTGGCCTCAGGTTTGGAAGTTCAGAAAGGTTGTAAAGAGCATGTGGGACACCTGCAGGAGCTGGACTGCAGTATTGGTAGCAGAGAAGGTCAGTAACTGTGGGCTTAAGAATTCATTTCAAGAAAGTCTGCTGAAACCAATAGAATTTTTTCAATTGACTTGAGTGGGATCAGGTTTCCAAAGTACTGTAAATCTGCCACTGTAGTTATTAATTAAGATCACTAATCTCTCTGCCCTTCTAGTGCAGCAGAAGGCACACATAAGAAAAGGTAGGGAATACTGCTTAACTAATTTCTTAGTTTAGAGTAGAGAGAAGTCTTGCTGTGAGAGTGATGCCATCAGGACTTGACCATTCTCGCTTCTAAGCAATAATATGCCAAGTGTTGGGATGGCCCAAGAAATGTTTGGGATTTAAAATCCTAGAAAATATTTTTAAGTAAGAGTAGACTTTGCAAGTAATAAAATAACTCAGTTTAGGGGAAAATAATTATTAGAAAACACAATAGTTTTAATTAAGGAGTAGTCCATACAGAATTTATGTAATATTTTTGTAGTCTCTGAAAGGTGTTAAAAAACTAATAGGGAAAATTTGAAATCAGAAATGGAAACTTGCTGGTTGATATTTGTAAAAATAAATGATTATGTTGTACAACTCAGCATATGAAGCAACCCCCTCTCCTACTGGAGAACCCTTTTTCATGTGAGTAGTTTCACAGACTGGTCCTAACCACTGCGAGGAAGGGTGGAGGTATTCACATTCTTTACCATTCACCATGGAAATTCTGTGAACTATAGAAGAAAAATAGTTAAATTAATACCCTGTTAAATTAAATGCATATGAAAGTAATATTTGTCTTTTCTTTTCAGGAAGCCTTGCTTCAGAAGAAGGTAGGGGTTTTTGAGTTTTGTGTGTTTTGATTACTCTTATTCATACTAGATGTCCTGGTGTTTGCTTCTTCTATAATGCAATGTTACTCTGACATTAATCAACCTTCCTTCCTTGAGTAAAGTTTCCAACCACAGTTGCTTTTATTTTAGCTTTGATCCATTTGTCCATCCCTTCTCCTGAGAAATCTCCCAAGTTCTGTTCATTAGTGGGTAGTACCAAGGGTAGGACATAAAGAACTCTTCCTACCAGAGTGGAATAGTACTAGTACAATACATGCAAGTTCATTAGTGCTCTCATTAGAAAACGATAGCAATGTTGATATTGTCCCAAGGTTATGTAATATTTCACAGTACTATGTATATGCTACCTTAAACATTTGTAGTTACAGTAGTAAGATATTTATTTGTTTTTGTTATAAATAAATCAAGCAACTGATTTTGTTGGGTTATACAGGAGTGTAATGTTGATTTATGAGATATATACATTAGAGGATGATTTATTTCCTGTTGTTCCACTTCTGTGTTCTCTAGTTTGTGGCTAGGCAAAACCAAGAGTTTTTGCTTTAGAAATATGAAATAATGCATTTGAAAAATCTTCTCCTTAATGTTTCTATTAACCTTTTAGTGTATGCAGAAGAACTGTGGAAAGAACTGTGGGTTGGAAAAGGGAGTAAAAGGAGACAAAGGTGATTCTGTAAGTATGCATTCATTTGAAAAGCCTCCAGAATTTGAATTTTAATCATTGAGATCAATGTTGCACAGTATTTTAAATGGTTGCTATGTCTGTAAAAAGCAAGACATTAGCTGTACATGTACTGCAAAAAGAAGTGATCTATCATAGCATATCACTGTGAAAGGCCACTGCTATAAGAGCTCAGAAGAAAGTCAATCCATAATCACATACTGTCTTGGAAATACATTTATATTACTGGATAATAAAACATTGTGGATAAAGAGGTACATGATTTTGAAGCCCAAATCAAAAAGTTATTCTTGAGTCTTGCAACAGGGAAGGAAATGTCCATTAGACTAAGGTTTACTTCCACCAGCAGCTTCTATTTGTGTAAAGGATAAAGGTTCAAAAGATTGAGGGTGATGGCATATATGAAGAAAGGTCTAAAACTCTGCCTTCGACACTCTCTTCTCTTATGACACTTCACCACGTAACTGTTTCTTGGCTCTGGTAAAAAGACCGAAGTGGGAGTTCAAACAGTGTGTGACCTCTTTGATCCCCTTTGTATCTTTAATAGCTCCCCCTGAGACAACCAAGGCAGATACAGAGATTTTTGCCTTTCTCCCTAGACACTAAGCAACTGGTCAACCACATATGAAGCAGGTTATGACAGGAGGACATATCATCTAGTCCCTTGGCTCTGGATAACGTGCATCTGGAACATCCCTGTTTCCAATTTAAAATCTAAGACCCAAGAATTTTAAATTATTTTATTCAATATTATTAGATGTAACCAATTATATATGTATTTTTATATATACACACCAAGCTTTCTAGTCCCCACCTTCATGATCCTTCAAACAGGAATAATGTTGTCGTAATTTTTTATTTTATTTTATTTTATTTTGGGGCTGCTGAATATTGACAGTAAGCTGTTCTGTGCATAGGGTTTTTTTTAAGCAGAGAAGATCAGAAGTGGTGGGTAACTCTGAAAAATGGGGAGGAGGAACTGTGTATGTTTTTTCTGTCACTTTCCTGATTAAATTTTCAAGTGCTCTGTAGAAAATGTATTTATGGTTGAATATTGATTTTAAAAAATCACAGATAAATAACTTGTAATACCAAGGGTTTTTTTAGCTAAGTGAAAGTAGTGTCATATGTGCCATACCTGAATCAGCGTGGGTTTCTATGTAAGTTTATTCCGGAATGATTTTGACTTGCTCCCTAGATAACAGTCTTAGAGAAATTTGAGAATTTTATCCTCACAATGGTAATAATATATTCCTGCTTTGTTTTAGGGAAGTGCTGGTGACAAAGGGGAAAAAGGTGAACCAGGACCAAAAGGAAGCAAGGTAAAGTGAATTTAAAAAAAATAAACCAAATTTCTGTCTAGTTTTATTCAAGCCATAGAAGTGAATATAGCAAAGGGAAAGTATGTTAAAATCTGATTTAAAAGATTGCCGTTTGCTGTGAGAGATTTATAGTTAGCTGCTTTAGAAGTGAGAGATTAAAAATTGAAACTAAACTGCTACCAAGTTAACACTGCCTATCATTCTGGTTTTTCTCTGACAGCAGATGTCTCTGAACCTAGCAGAAGCCTCTCTAAGCTCCACAGAGCTTTCTAACAGTACACAAACCTCTTGAGCAGAGAAACTTGCTCCGATGACTAAGATTTCAGTCATCTAATAAGAGTAGTTGAGTTTTCTGTTCATGTTCAGGAGTTGTGTGTCGTTGATTGTGGGAGGAAGAAGTGTGGATGTTTGTAAATAGCAAAAGCAACTTCTACTCCCTAAACAGTGTTCTTGGTTGTAGTGTAATAGTGATAAGTAAGAGAGCAATACATATTTAAGTTGTGTTCTTTTGCCTCCAATAGGGTGATACTCAAAAAGGAGATCATGGAGAAAAAGGTGAAGAGGTGTGTGGCTACTACAGTGCTAATTCATATTTGGTCTTTTCAGATTATCCTCCAGATTCTGATTCACAGTTTAGTTCTACTGAACTGAAAATGTGTTTTCCATTTTTCATACCTCTACTTTATTCACTTATTTAGAGAACCTAAACAAGTGCGTATTTAGAGAAACATCTATACTGAGAGAAACTTCTAACCATGTGCTTAATTATAGATTTGGGATGATACTGACAAAAGGAACTTTTGACTGATGTGATTTTGTATTGACTTGATAGAATTTAAAATGTCATCACTAAAACCATCTAGATAGTCCTCCAGTAGCTTCTGACTCCATGCATAAGATCAGTTCAGTTTAAAGGTTCCATTTCAATGAGTGGCATATTTACACCTAATGTTATGAGGAAAAAGTACACATCCAACATTTGCATATGTTAGATGATTCCACAGAGATATTTTACTGTTGTGAATAGGTAAACTTCTGAAATGTAGTTATTTACTGATTTTTTTCCTACTTACATTAGCAGTATCTTCTGATTTTGCCTTCTCTTTTATGATTTTTTACCTTTTTTTTTTTTTAACTTTTGAATAGGGAGCTCCTGGCTACAAGGGAGACAAGGTAAGATTTTTATAGAAGTAGTCTGAAAATAGGTTGTCACTTGCTGACAGTGTATGTGAAAGAATGGGAAGAAGAGCCTATTGTTGTCTTTTTGTTATGAGAGCTCCTGATGCAATCCCTAGAAGTACATTCATTGTTTATGTAAATATTTGCAGACTGGCTTATTGGAATTTAAAAAAATAAATATTAGAAAATGTAATCTAAGTATAAAAAGAAAAATGTCAAAGACCACAAATAAAGCTGCTGGAAGGAAAAAGAAAGTTGAGGGTTGGATAAGAGGTTAAATAGAAAAAATGTGAAGTTGTTTACTACAAACACAAATACATGTAGCAATCATTAGCTTTTAAAAACCTTACCGCAAGGAAGTTTACTTTTAAATATAACTTGCAAGAGCTAATGATTGATCAAAAAAGATCTCAAGTCTCTCCAAGAAACTAAAAAATTATACACTTCAATGACTTGCAAGATTCTAGAGTCAAAATTTATATTGCAAACTGGACCATTGTAACAGAAACAGACATAATCCTGCTTTGATTTTGCTTGGTTTGGACACTGAGCTCCCTATGAGGATTATTAATAAAAGCAGTGCCTTTCTGAATCTTTGCATTCATTAGAAAAAGGCTTCAGTCAGTTTTATGGAAACATTTCATGGAAATGGGAAAAGTAGACTCATATGTCTATTTTTCATATGCCTATTGATATGTTAAGTCATCAGTGGAACACATTAGTAATTCTCTTTCTTTATTCCATTTGTACAATCTCACAATTGTTATTCAGGATCTCAAATATAGCTAATGAAATCAGAGTATGGAGAGGATCTCTGGAGGTGGCTCAGCAAGGTGGAAAAATACAGCAAAACTTACTCCATGTTAAATGTACTATCCTCTTACAATGTAGGTTGGAAATTTTGTAGGCATTCTCAGAGAGAAAAAGCATCTATCTTGAGTAGAGCGGACCGTATCTTCTACAGATCATGCCTCTCGGGTCCTCAGAATCTACTAAACCTCTTGTGCTACTGAACTGCTTGCACAGTCTTTAATGCATGTAGTGAAATCAAAACATCTTATTTAGCTGTTAACCTTTTGATTTCTTATGAAGGGTGACAGAGGAGAATGTGGGTCGCCAGGACTAAAAGGGGAAAGAGTAAGTACAATTTTTATTTGAACCATTTCACGCTGATGAAGATACTAGAAAATCGTGTAGCATATTCATAAGCATAGCTTGTAAAAATTATTCTAACTTTGGAGCATCTTAAAATTCCCTGATAGGAGATATACATTCATAGTAGAAATATGATTTGTAGAAACTGAACCCACAGTTCATCATATTCTTTTATTCCATTTTGCAGAAGAAATGTCACTTACTTAAGAAAACCCTGCCCTGACCAATGCTAAGCCCTGCTTACAAAGGACTCTGAGTGTGTTAGAGTTCACCAGTTTTTTTTCTTTTAAATGTTGATTTAAATTAAAGTGTATAAAGTTTATATTACAACAGAAGCAGGTTCTTACACAACCTGAACAACTTTTATGTCTACCAGCCCATCTATGCAGATATGCATTCACACTTCTATCTAGTCCTCCTTTTAACATGAAGGGCAGAAATGATACAAGTTAATACAGATTTTTGACCTGGTTTTTGCACTCTGAAAGATGGAAGGATAATGTACTCTTGAGTGAGATAATCCTGTATTTTGAGTTCATGTAAGCAGGTTTATATGAGTACGACAAACCACGGATTTATAATTAAGAGTTGTCAAGTACTACCAACTAGATGGCAGTGCAATTGATCATTCTATTAAAGCACATTTCTTTAGTTTTAACATCCATATTATGCTTACCCTTATCAAAGACCAACTTAAAAAGTTTGTGGATCCTGGAACCTGTTATGTAAATGATGAATTTCAAGCAGGAAATATTCAAAGTAGCAGGGTTTGTTACAAACTAAAAAGATCATTATACTGTAATAAAAATCTGAAGGCTGCGTGTATCTTGTGAGATGCTGGGGTTCAAAATGGCAGCAAGTGAGTCAGAGAAGGCTGAAATACCAATGAAAAAGGAGAAAGAGTTGCATTTCTCTGAGGAATAAGAAAAGATCATAACTTCTTTGTTCAGGCAGTATGTGAGAAGTTGCATGAGGTTATGTGAAATGTCTACTGAGATAAAAGGAAGCTGTTCAGATGCTGGCAAAGAACATAGATAAAGCAGCCAAGAAATCTGGATGTAGAAAACATATGCCAGGGCTGATGGAAATTTGCTTGTTTCATTTCTGTTGAAGACAGTGATGAAAAAAAAAGTTTGACATCTGCAGAGGATCAATAGTTCTAATGGATTATGGACTTCAAGAACCTAATGAACTGTCACTTCTAGAATTCCCAGCTTCACATTTACAAATGCAGGACAAAATTATCCTTTTTTTTTTTTTTTTTATGAAAGTAGTCTATCCTGGACAGAACATACATGGCCAAATATAAATTTAGTATTCTAGGGTGTATCTTTAACTGCGTAGATAGGTATTGAAGCATAATTGTCAGTAGTGTTGTCTGACTTGAAAATGTTCCATTTTTCCCCTGCCACTTCCCAATCTCACTAATCAGGCTGACTTAAACAGCAGTTTTGATGCTGTGAATCTGAGCTTCTTCAAAAGGTATTGGAATTCAGAAAGTTTGTGTTCAGTTCTGACATCAGAACTGGCTCCAATCACATGTGTGTTTTCCACCAAATGTAGCTATCATCACATCAGTGTACTGTTGTTTGTGCCATCCATTGCTTGTGTAGTTTTGTCAATGGGCTAGAAATGAATGGGATTACCTTCTCTCTGTGGTGGCTGATGCTTGGCCTGGGAGCAAATTCCAGGGAGTAGAGAACTGTTAAAAAATTCTGAATCTGGATCTGTAGGTATCCCTGCTAAATTCATCCAGCCTATTAGAGGTTCAAAATGTGACATGTGCCTTGAAAAATGCATCAGTCTGACAGTGCCTCTGTGTGTGGAGATGTAGCTAATTATAAGAGAAGAAAGAGAAATAAAAGACCAGTAAACTATTTTCTGAAAGCTATTTTTGCTTTATAAATAAATTATAGCTGAGTATTGAGTCAACTGGAAGTGAAATCCCATATAATTTCTTCATTCTGGTGACTGAAGAAAAATCAGTGCAGCAGAAAGATTTGTGAACAATCTACAGTGGCAGTAATTGGTAAGAACTCATTAAATGGAGAAATGACAGCTAGTGGAATAAAAAAAATTGACATTTTTCTCTTTTTATGCATTTTTAAATGTTTTTTGTGAAATGTAAGTGTGATTCTGCCATGTTTGAGCTAATGAGACATCAGCAGTTTGAGTTAGTGAGAGAAAGCCACCTGAAGTTACCCCAGTATAAACACTGCAGCATTTTTTAACGAATTCTGTATCAAATGTAATCCAAGAAATTGAATTTAAAGACCTGTAGCAAATAACAGCTAGTTAATCAAATAGCTAAGATGTTAAGTAGCCATCCGTGTTTGTTGTATGTGAAAAGTATTTTAACCAAATATTGAGCATGGAGTAATAACTGAATACAGAATGGGAACAGCAGTACTTTGGAGAGAGAATAAACTCCCTAAAAAGTGCTTCAACAGAGATAGGAGTCATATGAGCACTGTGGTTTTTAATACTTTAAAGCAGATAATTGCAATTTTCTGTTAATCTGATAATCAAACCTTATTTTCCTCAGGGTTTGGAAGGTCCTTTTGGCCCTAGGGGACCTCGGGGACCTCAGGTAAGGGAACTAAAAACTAACAAATGAAAAGAAAACACATTATGTTCTGTAAGTTTCTTCTACATACAACCTGTCAACTCTGGAGAGCAATACTTTTGGTGTATGCAGCACCAAAACAGCAGAGTCTGGCAAATCTTTGTCTTTTGGAAATTGTTTTCAAAGAAAAAATCTTGGTGGCTGCTGCTGCTTAAAACTACGCAGAGGTGTGTGGCCCGCTTGGGATCACCAACTGCAGAGCAGACACAATGGTTTTATTAATGTTAGGGAATTAAAATTAATCTCAGCTTATCATCATAGAGAGTTGTAGGGGAAGTGATTTCTTACAAATGGAGCTAAATAGGACATGATGGCTTAGTTTATTTGCTTGGGAAGAGGAGAGAATATGAAAATGTGGCCAAGTCAGGAGCAGGAGAAGAAAGGAACAGAAAGCTTCAGATAAAGCAGATGCAATTCACATGGAATAGTAAGATATCCTTACTGCCAGCACTGGTTACTGAATATTAACAAGATTCAATGTGTTGGGCACTTCACAGGATACGATGCAGAAAGTTCTTGTCCTTTACAGCTTAGCATTGTACATTTTACTGTACTCTCATCAGGCCAAATGCAAAAGAAAGTTTATGTGCATCTTCAAAGGCAAATCATTCTATAATTTGACTTTTGTGTAGGGTATCGGTGGACCTCCAGGTGAGCCAGGCCCAAAAGGTATTCAAGGAAGCAAGGTAAGATGTATTGTGTATGTGTAGATGTGATTTACATAGGGAGAGGGGATGCAGAAACTCTCTGTAGAATCCTCACTACCCTTTTTCCTCCGTAGCTTTTGTTAATGGTATCCTTTGCACAGCAATAATGTACATCACCTGCTTGGTGCACCACAGAGCCTTCGTGTTACGAAGGCTTTCTCTCATTGGCATACAGCTGGTTCTCCATCTGGGTCTCCAAGCCCAGCCATCAGAGATTAGGGGAGCATTCTGTAGGGCCACAGTAGGGTGCTACCAAGGATATTCCTAGAGCCACAGCACTTACTTTGGAATTTAAATCACCTGAATCTGTGTTTTGGCTTCTGCCATCACTTGGGAATTTCGTTCTCTTACATCTTTTACTAAAATTTCTCGTGCTTAAATATTTTATGTAATTCTAGATGGTGGTTGTAAAATCTGTAGATTGAGTTTTTAGAGTAACTTTATGATTTAAATTAACTTAATGACTACAGCTTGTCAAGAAAAATCAGTTGGATAAAGTATCTGATTGATTTAGGCAGTTCTTCTGGTTTGCAAACCTTTGGGAGCTTGCTTTATGTGAATACAGTTGTCTTGCCCATGGAACAGCCATTAACATCACTGTTCAGTACAAAAAGATGTCTCATGCATCAGTTTGAAAATATAGGGTCTAAAGCCAAAGACTTTCTACCACAGGATTATTGATAGCATGTTTAATACAATGCTGCATCTGAGTTATACAAGGCAACTAAATTCACACAAAGCAATTTAAACACTCATGTTTTGTTTCTTAGCAATGGTTTCATTTGAAGATTCACAGAAATAAATTTAGATGTGGGAAATGTTTATGGTAAAAGGTTTGGAATACTGGCATCCATCATGATTTTCCTTTTCCTGACAAATGCTTTTTCATACTTTTTATTGCTTCATCTTCTCAACAAAATGCTTGATTAGGAAAGCTGCTACAGAATATGTCAGAAGTGGGGAAAGAAAGAGGATGATGGGTCTGAAAGAAGCTATTCATACATGTGGTGGGAGACTCATACCTCTCTTTAGCACGGCAAATGACAGTAATTTTTTTCTGTCATTTCACACTGATGAGTTCAAGATAGTGTTACCAGATACGGTTTTTATACACTAACTGTATTTATTTAATGTTGTTTATCCTCCTTTCAGTCTCTTCACACACTTTCATGTCTGTAAAATACATGCAGCTCTCTAGAATTCATCTATCTGCATATAATATTTATGGTCTCCTGTTACACTTTAGCTGCAGATTTTCAGTATGAATGAGAAAGTAAGCTCCCCTGTTTTTTCAGCTTCCAGCTCTGCCACCTGCTGTTTAAAGACTATAGTCAAGGTTTTTCCAGGTTCAGACATCTATCATAATAAAAATATTGCCAGACAAGTTTAATCAATATGCATAGGTAATTATACTTAAAGAGTATAGCAGAGGCATATGTACATTTAGAGGTTAACTCTTGTTCATACCTAGCACCAAAGCTAATCTTTGGCATTTTGGAGATGATTTGAGATGAGTGAAAAATTTTTTAATTATCAGAACAGATAATCAGTGGTTGTTTACTGCTTAATATACATCCATTCAGCTAGTAAAGGTCAAGGCCTTTTTTGGTTCAGACATATAGCAGTTTTTCCAATATCTTTTGTCCTTACAGAAGAATTATTCAATTGCTCTTTTAAAATTAGTTTTCATGACACATAATATAATATGTCTGAAAAGTGGCAGTTATTTATAACTGCCATGGATAAAATAAATGAGTCTATTCTCAGTGCAGTTCCTTATACCCAGGGCCTTTCCATGCTAATACTTTCTGCTTTTTGAGCTGAACTAGTGATTTCACAAGGTTTAGCAGAACTAAAGGCAGTTGCATGGCAGTGATGTGACATAACGCAGAACACGGCTACCAAACACTTTTATTCATTGCTAGTGCTCCATGTTGAGGTTTGAAAGAAGAGATTCAGTTTCTCAAAATACTAACTCTGCATCAGGCTCAGCCTACAGATTACTTATGGTCTCACCTATGAAGTCTACCGTTCTCACATGCCTGGCCAGCTTAGTCCATCTCACACCTCTGTAAGGTGGTTCCGTACTCGTTCTGTTGCTTTGCAGTGGCAGGAGGCAGATACGGCTCAGGGCATTCATCTGTGTGCTCTCTAGATGCCACTGGCTCTAGCAGCCACCAGGAGAGTTGGTGGCACTGCAACTCCATCTCAATTTAATTTGACTTGTGTGAAGCAAGAGTCCAGAAACATTGCCCAAGAAATTACTTAAAAGAACTTTTCATACCTTACTTCATCTGTCACTTACATATGCATTTTCTTATTCTCTCTTAAGCTGCTGGCTAATCCATCAGTGTGAAGTCTTTCTGACTGCACAATACTCTACTTGCATCCCTCTTCATGATATTGCCTTGTCATATTGCCAGTAATGAATTGAATCTCTCTCGAAGTCCCACTGTCTGCATTGACAGCTTTCCACTGACTACAACAGGAACTCAAACAGCCTATTTCCATGTAGGCACCTAAGTTTAGGAGTGATCATATGGAGCTGAATCACATCCTTAGCCTCTTAAAGTCTTTCTGATGCACCTCGCAATCAGTCCTTATCTTCAATAACCTCTTTAAGCAGTTATTAGTCAATACAAACAAACTTCATCACTTTACTTTCACCCTCTTTTCAAGTCATGTATGAATGTCAAACGGCTTATATCCTGCACAGAATGCAGCTCAGCATGACATTAACTAAGACCACTTTTTGCTATTAAGCAAACTTTAAAAAAAGTTTTCTCTATGTGCATTTCTGCAAAGTTGACATCTCAAAAAGATCTAAATAGTTTTATTACCACATATACAAAATTTCTCTGTAAAGAGGCTGAAGCATTTAAAACAACAAATTTGAACTCTGCTTCTATAAAAATAAAAATACTTGTTAACCATCTTATATTATTATTAATTTACCTGACTAAATATATTTCCATTTAACCAAATGCTGAACTTGCATGATGCAGTGAACCAGCAACAGAGCATGAAACAAAGTAAATTTAACAGAAAAATGCTAGAGACTAACAGGACATTTCACTGAGAGTTAGAAGCTGGGAACTGGCTATTTTCACTGTGTGTCTCCTGTCTTCTGAAGCAGTCATCTTGGTCCCATTGCCCAAGCATGTCCCAAGCAAAGGACCAGGATTATTCTGTCTCTTTTATGTTTTACTGACTCTCTATTGCTATTGTCAATGTTTCAATAGAAAGATGTTAAATTTACAAAAGAAAAATGATATGGTTAAAGCCAAATTCCACATTATTTTCTCTCTCTAACTTAAAATACCAAGAAAAAATACCATTCACAGCTGTGCTTTATATTCTTTTAGACGTTGGCTTCACTTTAAGGCATTATTCAGCTTCACGAACCACCACATATAATTTGCATTGCAACATAAAACAAATCTTGAATCATACTGTACCATGTATGTGATTCTGCTATCAAGCATGTAACGAAAGTTACAAAAAACCCGTAGGAAAACATTTTGCAGTTCTGTTATCACACACAATTTATTAATTGAATTTGCAGAACATCATTTTATAACCCTGTGTCTAAGGTAGAGACACTCAACTGTTGTCAAACTGCAGCTTGTAGGAGCAAGGAACTCAAATTTTGTGTTTCTTGTCTCACTAAGAATGCAAGTATGGCCCATGGTACCATTTTGCTGGCTAATGCAACCATTTCCAAAAACCCAGAAGACACTATCTCACTTAGAGAAAGACCAAAGTACTGGGAACAGAAAGTTGGCAAAGAGACAACCCATGCCGCTCTTGGTTCTGCTCCAGTAATATCCCATGTTGCTGCCTAGATGTCCAGGAATTTGCTAGATGGCTGTTTAATAGGTGGTTTGGGGGTTACGTCAGTTGTGGTTGCTTTCTAAAAAGACAATGGAATCACCATGTTTTTTTCTGGAAAACAGAGTTTAAGAATGAATTTAATACCCTTTATTTTGGTCAAGCAAACTTCTCAGCCCTACAGTTCTGCTGCTCACATTTTTGCAAAGCTGAAGTACCTCACTGGGGTCAACAGTGTTAAATGTGCACATCCACTTCCCCTTAGTGTTCTTGGTGTTAGATAAAAAATTAATTTTCAACATGCACATGTCTATTAATTTATTCAAAATAGTAGGCATTATTTTGGGTTTTTTCCATTAATTTCTTAAAATTGTTTAACTAATACTTATTAAAAAAACCCCAAACCATATTGTGGTCTATACAATAGTACCAGTAAGGTTCCCTAAGAATGTTTTTATTCAACGTAATTCTGAAAATGTGTTTGTTAGTGAGGGGAATAATAATGACTATTCGTGGATTTCAGTGGACAATTTACAATCAGAACGATATGGTTACAGATTATAAAACTGGGGCATAAAATCAGGAAGTGGGCATGACCTGTGTTCCACTCATGAAGAAGTGATGATCACAGAGTACTTAGGGTTTTCATTTCAGAAGTGACATTGGCTTTGTTTGTTTAAACTCTTAGATCAGCTACTAGAAATAAAGTACACATTTCTAGAAACCATGATATATTCATGGAAAGACTGAAAACAACACTTTCTTAGAAGCTACTGCTATAGTAAGAACCCCTGGAAAATGTCATATGCATAGTAAGATAGTGAATTAGAATCTAAAGTTGTATGAACAGACCTGTATTCAGACTTTTAAGGAAACAGTTAAGTTTGAATCTGGGTATTCAAAGCAGTTATTCCCATAGTAATCCTGTGAAAAATCCATCATTACGTATTTCCCTGAAAATGTGTCCCAGAATGAACTGCTAAGGGATGCTGCTTCTTCTCTGATGACTTATAAATTCTTTCCTTACTTACGTGGAAAGTTATATCTTTCCCAGAAGACTGAAAAATCCAATTTCCCTGTAAAGAAGCATAATTCCTAGGTACCTCGACTAGCTTAGAAATAAAAATTATCAATAATATCTGTTAAAATATCTACTTTCATTGTTGTTGCCAATGTTTAATTTAAAGATAAAATAATTTTATTTGAAAGACTATTTTTTACTGTATCTTAATCAATATGGCATTATAGGCTGAAACACAGAGTCTTTGTGTTCCTTACAGTATGTATGTGCTTTCTTAAAAGTAAAGAAATTATCTGTATTGTCACTAGTGGGTACTTATCATAACGCAACGAACCACTGTGGGGGGAGACTGTTTTTTACAGTTTTAATATGTAAAAGTACATTTTTAATATGTAAAAATATTAAGCTCAGATCAAGTGTAGTTTTCTTTCCTATTGCTCTAGCTGATAGTAGATCTTATCAGAAGGAAAATCACAATAGGGGGAGAAAAAAAAAATGAGCAGAGTGTTAGACAAAGAAAATAATTACAAAAAAGCTACTCGGAAAAGCAGACTTTTCTTTCTACATGTAGAGATAATATTATTGCCAGTACTTAATGGGTTTGATAAATTACACATTACCTGTGGCACCAAGGCCATAGAAGATAAAAGCCAGGCTTACTAATAGTCATATGAAGTTTGAAATATACAGGTGTTAAAATAGATGGAATAGTTTCAGTTCCCAAGTTTTGCATGTTCTGGTAGAAGGAGGAGTTTCTTTCTCTATTAATATTCAGGCATCCTCTGCTATCAGTGAGAGGCATTCAGCAGACTAAAATTTTTATACTACCCTACATGCTTTTTATCATAAGGGCTGTTAATGCTGCCTACACCAGTACCTACTAGTAGAGCTGTTGTGGGGCAGGTTACATGACACCAGTCATTGGAAAGAAAGCTGTAATGTTTTTATCATGGTTAAAAAAGGAGCCTTTGGAAAAACATTAACTTCAGTAGGACTCCTGCCTGCATTCAAGGCAGCACATGTATTAGCATAGCTCTGCCATGTGGGTGATCTCACCAAAGGAGTGAATGGTTTGGGGTAGGAAGCATCCCTCAGCGTTGCTGTCCTTGGGAAGTTCTGCCAGGGTCTGTCAGAAATAGATACGAAACACAACATGCAGGACAAAAGATTTGGAAGACACTTTCCAAACACAACAAAGGGGTTTGGTTTATTGTTTCAGCTGAGAGATGAGCCTGTATTAATCAAACATTGTTTTTCAGAATGGAACAAGTCCCTACATCATTTCAGAGGTTTCATTTTGACAAATGCGGCCAACGTGCTTAGTGGCGTTTGCTGTGCCCAGAGTAGCCTTCTTACATGTGGCGGTGCTGCATGCACTTTTTGTCTAAACAGAATCAACCCCAAAAGCCCTAAAATTCAGCTACCTGTTGGCTTAAAGGACAACAGTACTTAAAACAGGGTTTGTAAAGAGAATTAAAGAGGAGACAAGTACAAGCTTTGGTTGTATTATTTGCTGATGGGAAACACTTAATACAAATTAGTTTTGATCAGCTGATTTTTAAAGGACATTTTGTTCAATGCCAAGTTAATCCCATGGAGGAACTGGAAATCTAGAAAATAGGCCATTTGAGGAATTTTTTGTTGTTGTTTGATCAGTTTCAAAACAAACACAGGAGGAAAAAAAACTGCCATGAACAAAAGGTGTCAATTTCTGATTGGCTTTATATCAGTAAAAATTTCATACTTTACAATAATCTGGATACGTGTTAACTGGGTTGTGACTGGTTAAAAGGCCTCATGAAAATATTATTAGGAAATACAAACAATAAGGTCTACCTAGGAATAAGGTAAACTTCTTTGCTATAGTCTGTATTTTGGCAACAGCTACATGCACAGAATCCACATTAAAGCAATGTAGATATTGCTAATACCCTATCAGTGTGCTATGTGGAGATACATGAGCTATTCTGCTGGGTTATACCAGCTTTCTCTGATTTTCCTCTGCCTTCTAAGACTTATTTTCTATTGATGCTGGATTAATATGTTAGATTATGAAGGTGTGCTTTGAAATCTTGGATTTTGAAAAATCATTACATTTCATAGCTGCTCTTCAAGTTATCATATTGTCCTGTAATGGAATGAATTTAAGGCTTGGCATCAAGTTCCACTTTATTCTAGGTTTAAAGCTGCAGTAGTAGCACTCCCAAGTGCATAGTTATCAGAAATTAAGCTTCAAGGATAATCTGTTTATTTACTTTCACTGTATATTCACATTCCTGCATCTTAGCTTCCTTCTTTGGCAGATTACCAACTGGTAGATTTCTGGAGAAATACCTGGCTTTGAAGTTGGTTTTTTAGACTTTCATTGACCTCTCAAGTGCAAAAAAACTCACTGAAAGGTTTCAGAACTCGGCATACAAAATTTTTCAGAATATACAAAATTTCAACCCCCCAGATACGAATACTTCCCCAGAAAATAAACATGTCTTGACAAAAAACCTTTCTAATAATCATGTGGCTATGTTGGCCTTGTGAGAAACACATTAAACACACAAGAGAATTAGGAGCTGCAGTCAAAGGTAGCACTAGGAACAACAATCATGATATGCAGAAGAAATGTTTCTGTAGCCCTAAATGAGGCTGCAGAAAGACACTCTGGGGGAATTTGATTAAGGTTCTATTTGCATTAATAGTTTCTTTCCACTTTTTTTCCTTTAGGGAGAGCAAGGCCCTTTAGGTCTCTACGGTCCTCCAGGACTCCCTGGTATTGGAGAGCCAGGCCCCAAGGTAACTCTCAGTAATATGTCTGTGAAAGTGCTAACTGCGGGCAGTCATTTTTTTGGATGAAATTCCTCACCTGCTGTTTTATCAAAGTCAAACTCTTATCATCTACATGTAAAAATGGTACAGGGTTTTGTATTTGCCTAGGGTGGAGATAACAGACACGCCTTTGCAGCAACTCTTAATTTTTAATTATGTTCCCATTGATATAATAGAAATTAGAAATAATGCCATTTAAGTGGGGTTTAAACATGTGAGATCATTTTCAAGCACTAGCAGATGCTTTCATTAATGAGTAAACCATACTTCAAGGCATAGAAATACAGCTCAGTCACTGTGATGCACAGTCAAGTGATAGATTTGCCTTGTTATTTCTTCACTAGGGAACATATATTCTGATAGGTTATAAAATTCTCCCTCTCCTGCAGCATTTAATTATTTTATTGTAAAAGATTAGCAGGTAGAATAGGGTCTTGCTAATTTGAAAAGTCATGTCTGCCTATGCTGGCCAGCCAAATCTCCTTTTGTAAAACTGCAAAAGCATCTACATAGGAAAGATGACTACTTGGTTTATGAGAGTTTTGTCAGAGACCTGCAGCTCAGACTCATACAAGAAATCTAAATTGGTCAGAACTAGATCTCACCCTAATTCTTCTGGCTGCTAAGTCTGGTGTTGCTTTATGCCATTTTTTTGCAAAATACTTGCACTTTTTTTGCTTCTACTGCTCCAATTTGTACATCCATTGAACTCCTGCATATTTTCTGTGCACTAGAGCAGACCCCAGAACATAGAGAGGGTTTATATAGCTCAGAAACTGTTTGCCATGTAAAAGGGGCAACACTATTCCAGAGAGGAAAGTTGTTTATGGAGAAGGAATATCACTCCCAGTCTCTGTACCACTCTGGGAAGAGATAAAAATCCTCTGTGCTCTTATCCTTGAAGCACATAATCCTTAGTAAAATGGAGGAATTGTGAAGATTATGACACCTTATAAATATAGAGAAACTATGTAGTTCCTGGAGTTGCCATGCGATCCCATATTCCACTGAAGCAAGCTTCAGTTCAGCTTGAATGCCTAGACAGGGGCTATGGTGAGGATCACTCACACCTGGGCATTACTGCTTCACAGTTGGGTTATACTGCAACTAAATTTAGCTTGGCTTTGCTCCGTTATCCCTGTCATCTCTCAGGTCCTGCACTTTTAAGCAGTTACCCCTATGCAAAGTGGTAACACTCCTTTGCTGTTGGCATGAGGGTGGGAATGTGATCTGGTGCTTGGAAGGTATTTATGGAAAGGTACTTTCAGGTTTTTCTAAATTGTTATTTATGCTTTTTTTTTTACATCAGAAGTTACACATTTGTTTTCTGACTTTTCTGGTGAAACCATTGTCATCTGTATGTAAATGTTATGCTTTTCAAAAGTATCGAGTTGAAATGGGACTGAACTTTCTAATATTCTTTTTCACAAGGGTGCTAGAGGACAAGAAGGTAAAATGGGATTGCCAGGACCACCTGGAATTTGTGAGCCAGGATTACCTGTAAGTCAGTGATATATGCAATGGAAATGGAAATAAGATAAGTCTGACTGTAACTGATTGACAGCAGGTGTATTGGCTGCTGATTCCACAAACCACTCTGTAACTTGTCTGGAGCAGCAGAAATGTGTATGACTGAGGCAGTAATTGCATGTGGCTTGCCCAGGTAGGAGAATAAAGCCATGTCCAAACACATTTTCGGGAAATAAAAAATTGCTTAGTCCATGTAAGCAGGATTGCAGTAACCAGTTTTCAGGAAGATATGTAGTTGTATATAATAGGTGTACCCCCACTTGTTTGAGTTGAGGATAATCTTTTAAAATTGCCTAACATCAAATTTTAAGAAGATGAAAATCCAAGAGTTGACACATTCCTCAACTCCTGTGTGTAATTTGGCTTGCATCAAAAACAAAGGCACAAATTGTATGTTTTTAATTATATCTTTATCTTCTGAATTACAGAACTTCAGCAAGCTTTTTGTAGTGCTGAGTTAGTGCTCACTGGCTGTTTTTTTCTTCTTGGTGGACAGAGTACAATATGTTTGGTCTTCTTTGTATTTCATTAAAAATCTCAAAGAGATTGTTAATTAAGGAGCCACAAATGTGGATGGGTGTTAGATTCATTATAATACTATTTTTGAAAGACACTCTGTGATTGTAAAAGATTGTTTTTCATGCAAAAAATGTAGAAGCTTTTCATTTAACCAAGATCAACCCTAAAAACTTCATTAGCTTTAAGTAATAAAAGGTAGCTGAATTTTGTGGAAGAACAGAAAGTGTTACAAAAATAATTGATTTTGTACTTGCTTAAAACAAAATTGGCATTCTATAATTTCGTATGTTTAAGCTGCCATTTTACATGACAAAACTATGTCCAAATTAATGATTTTCATTATGAAAATCATGAAATCACATGAAATTATAGGGAATGTATTTCACAGTGGTAAATATATTTCTCATTAATTAATCTACAGGCTTATTTAGGCTTTAAGGGTACACTCTTTAGTTGTTAATTATGTAATTCACAATGTTTCAACATTATCTTATTCTGATCTAGAGTCCTCCATTCATCTAATTGCCTGGGCTCTTTCATCTGTTTCTGAACCATTTGTATTTACCAGTCTCATATGAGTTGCAACCTATATTAGCAAATTAGACAAAATGTCAATAAAAATGGAATATAGTCTGAATATATGTTTTTTTCTTACAGGGACCACGTGGCCCTGATGGTCTTCCAGGTGAGAGGGGTATACCGGGAGAGGGCATTCAAGGCCAAAAGGTAATTTTATGTAAATACTTTTTTTTTTTTTTTTTTTTAATATTATGGACCAAATCTCTAGTTGTGTTTAAGTTATTTAAGATCACTAGTCATTCCACTGGTACAAAATGTCAGCTGATGCATCTTGGTCTTCTAAATCACTGTGCTCTCTGAATATCTATCCAAATTCAGAAACTATCAAGATAATTAATTACAAAAACTTGTACAGTCCTTCTAACAGTAGTAAGTTAATGATTCTCTTATATGTTTAATAAGATACCTAATTTTGGTAGCATTAATGAAATAAATTGTCTTTTGAAAGACTTCTTACATGCTTATGTTCTGTATCAGGAAAAAACATTCAGAAACAGAATGTCTTCATTCTATCTTACCATTTTGGGAAACTAGAATATGGGTTGTATGAGTCTCTATGGACAGTTAAGCGCCATTAAGGGCACTTGCTAGGTTAATACATGTGAACATTCCTTTTTTTAAAAATAAGTACAAACAAGCAAAGATTTATGATTAAATCACAACTGGGCTTCGCATCAAAATGTATCCCTCGTTTTTAGTGAGGGATAGATTCTTTAGAGCCTTGAGCCACTATGCAAAGACGATTTTTCTTCCTTTTATGGGAAAGATGTTGGTCATGTCCTTGTACCAGGTTCTGAAGTGCTCTCTCTGACTAATAAACATATTATCGCATTTTCAAAACTCCTTCTTCCTAGTATTTCATTTTCTCCTTTTGAAGTCCTGTGGTCAACAACACAATGAATGCGGATGAAGCATGTTATGAATTGTAATTGAATCACTTTCCTCTGATACTTCCATTGTCTGTTTTTCTTGTTTGCTTGTGAAAGAATACTTCTTTCCTCATTATCCGCATTGTGAGGACCAGTTTGTCTAGGATGGTGTTCTTTATAAATACACAAAACTGTCGTATTTGTAGGGTGAAAAAGGCTGTACTGGTGTAGCGGGTCCTCCTGGGTTGCCAGGTCAACAAATCAAAGGTGACAAGGTGAGGCACAGAGTATTCTTCTAATTGTATCGATAGTTAATTACATTTATAGTTAAATTATCTATGGATTATTCATACAGCATCACAACAACACAAAGGTATGTTTTACACCTTTGCATGCAGCTTCATAGGCTGCACTCATCTGTACAAGTAGCTAAGCCTGTTATTGTTAACTGAGTACTAAAGACTGCATTCTATGCAGCTGGGAGTATGAGGGAAAAAATGGACTTTTTTCCTCCTAAATTTAATGCAGAAATATTGTATTTAAAATATTTTAAATTTTATTTAAATATTTTTTTAAATGTAAAAACCCCTTTGAATCATCAAAATGGACTTGGGACAGGTAAAGGAACTCTCTGGCTTTCGAAATTTTTTAGCTTTTTGGTGCCCAGTCCCCCAAAGAGGGATCCAGAACAATTTTAATTCCCTTGGCTTGATGATATTCCAGCCTGTATCTTGTGCTTCCCCAGAGTGGATGATAAAACATGCGCAGATGTCCTATAGAGCAGAGGCAGTGATTCCAGATCTTCCATCCCGTGATTTAGTTCCATAGCCCTCCTTGTACTCCCTGTTGGTTTTCTTCCCTTTTGTCCCCACAACTCCTGCTCTCCTTGCTGCCTGACACTCAGCTTCAGTGAGGACAGTACTCCCATCCAAAGTCGCTGACAGCAGGGAATGTGGGAAGTTCCCGTGGATGTGGGAGGTTTAACTTGAACTTGTTCATCTCACTGTCCAGTCAAATAGCTCTCCGAGATCTTCAGAGCAACCTACATGATGTGGTGTGGTCTGATTTGGCCTGTCCGTGAGAGATACGCTCGGTGAGCACCTGTCAGACCATATTGCTTGAGGCCTTAATTAGGGGAAGATTAGTTATGTGCACAGGAATGAGCCATCTTATTCCCAGGTCTGTATAGTAAAAAAGCAGTGATGGACAGGACAGTAAGCATTTAGGAACATTTCAGTAAATAAGTGTTTCTGGCATAAGTGAATCTAATTATTTTTTGTTTCTAGGGACTCATGTCCCACATCCTTGACACCTTCATGGGTCTGTGCCACTTCCAATACCCACATGATCTCCCATATTCCTCTATTCCCATAATTCCCTCTGCCATAATTCCTGTATTCTTTCCCCAAATTCTGTACAATACCATTACAATACCAATTGATGAAAATTTTTCAAAAATACTCTCTAGCTGCCCAGTTTACACTTGCAGGTTTTTCTTCTGAGTGTTGTGCAAGAAACCATGTATATTTCTGTACAAGAAAATCTTTAAAATTAATCTCAGTATGTAAAGATAAGCTATGGATCCTTCTAATAGTAAAGTTATGGCTGTGATCATTTAATGTTATAAATGAGATAGAGTTTGTAGGAACAAAGGGGTATTATTTTTATTAGATCAGTTGCCACAGGCAGACTTTTAGGTGTTCCAAACACATTTAACTCAAATAGAAGCAACAAACTTTGCAGTAATACAGCTTGGGGACTGTTGCTCTGTGTTTAGTTTAAATATGTTAATCATCTAGTATGGGCTATTGCAATTTAGCTCTTGGGAATATTTTTTGTATAGGGTGAACAAGGCCAAGTGGGACCACAGGGCCCAGCAGGACCACCAGGAATAGGCAATCCAGGAAGCCAGGTAACAACATTAATTAGACATGTAATGAGAATTTCTGTGCAGTTTGCATTTTATACTTTATCAGAGCTCTAATTTTGATGTGAAGACATTACAAATTTCACAGTGACTTTTCATTTTAAAAAGTATCAAACTAGTCTTTAGACAAAGCTTGGAAATGTGATTCCAACTGATTTGAATGGTCTTAGAATCAAGCAAACAGAAATTTGGTCTAATCTGCATGATAATTTGCATAGGAGATAAAGCAGATGCATTGCTTGGATGATGCCGTATTATAGATAAGAGATTCACAAGGTCAGAACCCACCACATATGAATTTCAAGCACTTTGAAACTTGAACTCAGTCTTAAATAGTTGGATACAAAAAAAAAGAAGAAACATCCCAGATCTTTTGGTTCTTGGTTGTTTGGGGTTTTTTTAAAGGGTTCATGCTGCCGCCCTACTGTCCCAGTGAATCAGGGCTTAGATGTATATACTGAGACACTTCCCATTTGTTTTCTCCATAAGCAGTAATTGTCATTACGCTTGGATATGTCACTGAAATCCACAAGATAGTTTCAAAGAATAAAGATCTCGGAACTAAGCCTGAAGACAGACAAGCAAATTGTTTTCTTTTAAAGAAAAGATAAAATCGTTATTAGCTGAAAGATAGGCATGTGGTGAATTTCAGATGTGGAAGAGTGTAACGCACTAACTCATTTATTTTGCTTTGTAGGGTATACAGGGTCCACAAGGAAACCCTGGGGCAAAAGGATCTAAAGGTTTTGGTCTGCCAGGTCCAAAGGTAATGATTCAGACGTTATTTTTTTTTAAAAAAAGCACCAGCAAGAAGCAACAAGCAATGTATCTTAGCCAGGCTTTCTAAGAGGGTGTTTGAGGAGATGAACATGTAACTCTTCATTGGAGATAACTTCACTTTTGAATCTTCGAGGGAAAACCACCCATGTTATCAAGGTATTCCCCAAATGGAGCATATGGCTTCTCCTTAGTGTCCAGCCCTTAGCTTTTGTGGGTGTGGATTTTAGGTTCTAAATGAAGACAAATTTATAAACAGAGTATCTTTCACGCATGTTTATATCAAATGAGTATGGTGCCACATACGCATTGTGTTCAGGTAAAGCATTTTACCAAACAACATAGCTGTGAAGCCAGCAGTGGTTTTGACACTTAAGTGTAATCCCACCTCTCCTTCAGCCTGTGATGCAGCCTTCTGTGGTTGTCATGAGAAAGAACCAAAACCAAAGACAGAAACACTAGGAGAGAAAAAGGAGCATAAGTGTACTAAGTAGCTGACACTGCATCATTTAAGAGGGAAATTAGGAGAAAGTGGGGTAAGCAATTGTTGCTGTCAAAAAAGCCCAAGCCTCTAGCAATACAGTGTCAGGTGAGCATGGTAAGAGAAGAAAAAGGGAGTTGATAAAATACTTAGGAGAGCAAGCAGAATAAACTGATGAATTGTAAAGCAGAAGGGTGCTTTCTAATCACCTTGGTTTACAAAAGGAAGACATTAGTCACTCTGGCACGAGCAGTGATAAATACAGTCATTTTCTGGGCATTACTTTGGCATCTAAGTAGCAGTTAGAGCAGCAATGCTTAATATTCACATAGGGAAAAATAAGTAGCTTTGAAACATGTTATGTATGAGGAAAATTTTCCTAGTGTGAAAAACTATTTTAAAAAGCAAAACTGAAAAGTGTAATCCCTAATTCTTTGACTGTTTTAGAATTACTGGAAGGAAGAATTGTGACAACAAAACTTTCTTTTAAACAGAAGTTCTCATTTTTCTTTATTTGGACTAACTTTTCTATCAGTGACCGAAGAGTTTATGATATAGTGGTGTAAAGTAAAAAACAGAATGTATTAAAACAAAAAGGAAAAAGTTGGAATAATTCACTTGGACTTTCTGCCCACTGCAAGTTTAAATAAAATAGATGCAGTCTTACAAGTTACTGGGGTTTTTAAGAATTTTCCATTTGAAAACTGCTTGGCTGAAAACTTGACCACTTAGTATCATAGAGTCTTAGAATATCTCACATTGGAAGGGACCCATAAGGATCATCAAGTCCACTTCTATAGGTAAAGCAGTTAGTGAAACACTGCCAGTAATGAATGAAGCTAAATTGTATTCCTCTGTTAAACAAAGACTTTTTGTTACTAGGGCCAACCAGGTGACCCTGGACAAAAAGGAGAACCAGGACTTCCAGGAATTGGTGTACAAGGACTTAAAGTGAGTCTATTTTTATTTTTAACTGCTCCTTAGAGGGTCTTCTAATTCTTTTACTGGTTGCTGATAAACTAAGTAGAATATTTTTTGGTATAAATTGACATCAAAATAAGAAGGAATTTCAGTGACAGATATCCACTTAATTTCACAGTTTTAGCTTTTAAACTTGATAAGCTGTGCTACAGCTCCCACTCTTTCTCCTAAAATCATTACTGCAGCCATAACTGGAACAGAGTTTTCCCCCATCTTTTCTAGGCTAGTGAGGTTTTTCCAAGGCTATTAGAAATGTTACTATCTCTGTTCCTCTGCAGTGATTTGCAAACACAGCGGTGGTCGAGTTGTTAAACGCTTAGAGCTTTGACTTGACCTGCCATTTTGAAGACTGTATACCATGTCCGTAATGATTTAAGTAGGGCTTCCAAAACCTCAGGTAAGATGACGTAGACATCTTATTTATGGTGATTTTTCCCAGAATCATGGAAGAAGCACTTGGCAGGACTAGTTCCTATGAATAATTTCAGCTCTTAGTGACAAGTCTTAAAAGTAGTGCCAGAAGCAGTTTGTACAACCAACACGGTGTTAGTTTGCAGTCAACAGCTCCATTTAGACATTTTTGGTTGACTATTCCTTAAGTTCCGGATGTTTGACTTTGCAAGTAAATTACGTTTGTATCCTGTTCTTGTGCACAGAATAACAAACAGCAGTTAATCATGATTTTACTTACTGAATAAATGTAAATTTATTTAATACAAAAACCAAGATTTAAGAAGCAGGTGGGTGCTTGGATAGAAATCTAAGATATTTACTATAGGTTGTATGAGTAGAAAACTTTACTGGCTCTGTAGAACATTTAATTTACAGGGAATATCCATGTTTATTTGAATAAAAAATATTGTATATCATTAATATTTTAACACACTGTCAGACCCATTTTACAGAATAAAGCATTTATTGAATTACAAAGATAGAATTATTTATTCTTCTTTAAGGGAGATATAGGTCCATCAGGACTCGAAGGAAAGAGAGGGGCACCAGGAGTTCCTGGGCAATCAGGGAATAAGGTAAGGAAACACATTTTACTGCATGTAAAAGGCATAGATTGAAAGAACAAACCATAATTTGCAGGTATGCAATGGCAAGGAATTCATCCTGAAAGAGGGCATGTGCCAATACTTTTGCCAGGGAAAAGGGACTAGGCTAGCTGAGATATTTCCAACAAACTTTACTAACAGTGACAACCATCTGAATCTGCAACTGATTTGCCTGCCCTGCCTTTTGTGGGCTATTGACTACTGTTACGTTTCATTATCTTCTTGGAGAACAGATAGCTTGTGTCTTTAGCATGTTCCTAACAGCCTGTTCAGATTTTTCCTGACACCAAGAAATCATGCTCAAATTGGTGTGACCTAGGGCACCTAGCAGCTAGGGTGGTGAGCTCTGACTGAGATTTGTCAACGTGGGACAGAAACAATCACAGGCAGCTGAAACCAGGGCTGCTTCTTTCCAGGGGAAGTTCTGAGATTTTCAGAGAAACTCTGCCATATTGGGAAAAAAGAATCTGAAGATCAAAACAGCGGAAATTAATTTAAAGAGGCATGAACCAGAGTGCCCAAAATAGTCAATTAAGAGCAAGTTAAATGGAGGCTTTTAATTTTACTTTTTCCAAAAAGAATGAGCTGCTGAGTGAGCAGAACTCAGGGCTTTGGCTGACTGTTGAATTGCTGTTGATAATCCAGGCATCTCCGAACTCTGCTACTGTGCAGCTCATAGACGAGGGTAGCAGCTGGCCAACGTGTAGAACTGATGAACTGAACGTGATTCAGACTAAGCATTTTTTTTGACGTCAGGTCTTTAATCAGAAAAATATCTGAATGGCTGAAATATCTATTAAGAATGCAGCTTCATTTTTTTTTTATCTAAAGGGCAGTGCAAATATAAATTTGACAAGCTACAGCCTGAGGCAGTAAGCCTTTCACTGTGGAAAAATATGTAGCATTTCCATTGCTACTTAATTATTTTTTAAAAATTTGAAATCATCCACTGTATAAGTTCTCAAAAATTAAGATCCTGGTGTATCAGAAGGGAAACATCAGAATTAAGAGTAAATGTTGGGTTAAAGTTACAGGTGGCTTATGCATTAGGGAATGCTTTTTTTCTCTTGCATATTACCTTTATTCTGGTGTTCAACTTGGTGCTGTCATCTTCACTGCAGTAATTGATTGTAAGTGAAAATATTAGTACAGAGCAGGTACCTTGGGTATTCAGGACAGTGCAAAGAACAACATGATGCCTGCAGTTAGTAGCATGGAGATGTTACAGACTGATGCCTATCAACAGCGGGGTCTGTAATAGAATCGTAGAATCATTTACATTGGAAAAGACCTTTAAGATCATCAAGTCCAGCTGTAAACCCAGCACTGCCAAGTCTCACGAACCCATGTCCCTGAGCACCACAATCCACATGTCTTTTAAATATCTCCAGGGATGGTGACTCAGCCTTTTCCCTGGGCAGCCTGTTCTGATGCCTGACAAGCCCTGAAGAAATTTTACCTAATATCCAATCTAAACCTCCCCCGGCTGTTTCCTCTTGTCCTATACCTTGCCACCTGGGAGAAGTGACTGACACCCACCTCTCTGCAACCTCCTTTCAGGTAGTTGTGGAGAGCGATAAGGTCTCCTTTCAGCCTCCCCCTCTCCAAGCTAAACAACCCCAGTTCCCTCAGCCTCTCCCCACAGGACTTGTGCTCCAGATCCTTCCCCAGCTCCATTGCCCTTCTCTGGACATGCTCCAGCACCTCAATGTCCTTCTTGAACTGAGGGGCCCAAAACTGAACTCAGGATTTGAGGTGTAACTCACCAGCGCTGAGTACAGGGGGATGATCACTTCCCTAGTCCTGCTGTCTTTTCATGCCGCTTCCATCAACAGATCTAATCAGAAATGGATTTCTGAACTTCATTTTAATCTACTTCACACCTTCTGAATTACTTACCAGCATTCTGATATACTAATCCTACTTATATTAGGCATAAATATTTTGTAGATAGTGTTTTTTACTAGAATTAATAGAATGTTTTATGTGGATTATTTGTGAATTATTTGAAGTATTGTTTCTGGTAAATATTTCCAGCCTGGATTACCTTTGGCTGCAGAGTTGCCTACAATTACTGCTTCTTACAAGTTGTTTTTCATAGAATTGGTGAACCAAGACCTTTTCTGAGAAGACTTCTAGCATTTCTCTTCCTTGTATGAGTATATGCATGCAATTCTTCTTACAAAAGATTGATGCAATTTCAAATGGCACTATTACAAATGTCTGTGAAAATAAGGAATATGAACACAGGAGGGTGGAAGGGGTTTAAGAAGACAATAGTTTACTTATTGCAGGAAAAATGTTAACCAGATATTTACTGACATTTTTTCCAAAAATGTTTCTACAAGTATTGTTCCCCGTAAGTCTATTGATTCAATAAAATTAGCTACATGAAAATTAACTATCTAATCTCTCTAAGGGGGAAAAGGGAGATCAAGGTCCAAGAGGCACTCAAGGAGTCCCTGGCAAAGGAGATGTAGGACAAAAGGTATGTCTTGACATGTGCGCTGGAGAAATGCTACAAACTTTAGAAGGATTTTATACAAGTTCAGGTTCTGGCCTGTTTTTTCATTCATTGTATCTTAAGTAGCAGTTGTATTTTAACCGATGATTTAAAAGGATTGAAGAGTAAGTGATGTGTCCCTTAGCCCGAACAAGTGCAGCAAAATCAGGCTATACAAATAGACCCTAAAGTTAATTGGGCAGTAGAGATTTCCTAAAACTTCAGTACAGAGTTTTTGTTAAAGTTAGGAGGAGGCAACTCACTTCAGTATGCTGACAGGGAGAGAGGCGGAGCTAAGGGAGAGTAAGTGACTAATTTGACATCTAAATATGAAATTGAAAGCCTGCAAATATGTGTTAGTAAACAAACATGCTTTTATCTCCCACCTGGTTAAATTTAGGACATTTGGTGCAGATTCTAAAACTGGAGTGAGGAATCTAAACAGCTTTCATAGTATGTGTGCTAGACCATGACATTATGGACGTTATTGTTTATCGTGTTTTTACTTCTTTGTGTATCTTGCAGTTGTGAACAAAGCTCTGCTGTAATTTAAACAAAAGCTTTGTTTTTATCAGGGTGACCCAGGAGAAAAAGGATCCCAAGGACCGATTGGTTTTACAGGAGTACAGGGCCCAGCTGGACCGAAAGTAAGCTTGTTCCTCTAGGGTAACCCTTCACTATATTTTATAAAAGTGTCTCTGGAATTTCTATAACATACAAAGTGTCTGATGCTTGGAGGTATAACAAAAAAAAGGAAAAGCAGAAATATTGCCATCCTCTGTCCTGAATGACACAAAAGTCCTGAGGAAATACGTAAACTTATAATTATAGACCTTGTAGTTTTGCATGAGCACTCGGAAGCTAAATGGAAATTTTCCAAGTGATTCTAGCCATGAGCATTTAGCAGATTTTGGCTTTGAAACATGAAATTTCTATTACACTATTTTGTGAGTAGTAAGTGTCACTCTGAATGATAAGGAAATTGAAATAATACCAGTGTTCTAGTTATTCCATTGGCCTTTTAAGCTGGACACAAAAAGTAATTCAAGCTTAAAAATCAAATACATGGTTCAACCAATATAAAACATGAAACTTGGACCAGCACTCACAAGAGTAATATGCTGATTCATGTTTTTTTCCCAAATATTGTCTAGTTTAACCTGAAGTGTTGTATATACTTTTATAGTATAATGTGCTGAAAAAACTTGTGCAGAAAATGAAACTGTATTTTTAAATCTAGATTATACCATTTTGTAACAGGGTGAACCAGGAGAGAGAGGACCACGTGGTGTCGCTGGATCATCTATTCGGGGACCTGCTGGACCAAAGGTGATTATTTGATATGTATTTGCTGGAGACCACAGGTGGAAAAATTTCTAGTGCACATTTCTGTCAAAAGAATGTAAGTTAAATGACTTAAAAGGCCTTTTGGTTGTAACAAAGCTGACTGAATTTTAGAGATAAGGACTGCAAAGTACTAAATATTAACAGAGAGTGTTTGGAGGCCCTTTAACATGATGCTGAACTTGGTACATGTTATTGCCTCCTGAAGCCATTTGTTTAAGAAAAAAATACATCTTTAATAGATCTGTGTTGTATTTTGGTCCCTCCTGTAAAATTACTTTGCATTATCATCTTAGAAAGACTAAAGATCTCCCGAATGTGGCAGTAAATCCCTGCAGGAATGTGTCTGTGTATAGTTCCAGGGAGTTACAGGCTGAACTAGTAGATCTTTTAGACATGAACGTTTGTATGTCACTTCCAAGTGAACAGCTGGCCTGTAGTAATACTTTAAATGGAATGTCATCTACAAGATAGCTAGAGCTCCATCCACCTCATTTTGTCCATGGGGAAAATGTACCTGAAATGAGTGGGACTTGCCCTTGTATGTAAAATAAGCAGATTTGGCAACACTACAACTAACTTGGCAGGTTTTAAAAACATTTGAAAATTCACTACCATCCCATTTTTATTTTACAACTAAAATAGTTGCTGGTTTTATATCTTCAGCTTTGGTGCTAGTTTTTAGGGTAGAGAAATTACTAGTCCTATTACTCTGAAGTAATTTCATCCCCATTTTTCTTCTTCCTTAAAAATATGTGTGCGCACACACACAGGCACATGCAGGTATTGTACATAAAATGTACTCATCAGCCTGGCCACAGGGACATCACAGAGGGCTAGGATGTGACTTGGGCTTGTTTGTGCTTGGAGGAGGAAGGAAGAAGGGAATGCCAGAAGCTCAGTGTATACCTGGAGTAAAAATGCAACAGAGAAGAAAGAAAGGAGAGGACTGTGGGATTCTCTTATCTCTTACATTGGTTTAAAAAAATAATAATGTACCAAAATTTATGGTAGGAAAATGTGTCATGCTATAAGGGACAACTTGTATGAAGACAGGTTTGACTATACCGATCTCCCTTCTTCACATTTTCCTGGTTACTGTGACATTTCTGAATAGACAAGTAAGTCAGCATTATTTATTGACAAAAATCATGCTGAAAAGTAAGAACTTTGTAGACTCCAGTGCCTTTTTCATTCTGATTTTATTCCGTTCAGTACAGTTCATATCATTGTCATAGCAGACTGGCTGCAATCCAAAATCCACTGGAGTCTGTAAGAGTTTGTTGAAGCTCTTTACTAAATTTTAGATAAGGGCTTTTATGTGCAGTGGCTGATGCAAGAAAGCAAGTAGTTCAGGTAATTATATAATGCAAGTTTAAAAATACAAAAAAAATACAAAACTTGATCTCCTTAGCTGCATAATAATTTCTCTGTTTAAACAAATATCTCCTATGTTTCTGACAACTGCTCAATCATGAACCAGGCTACACAGGTCCGTAAAGTACAATGATTGCTGGTAATTGGGTTTTTGGAACATCCTGGTATCTGCAGCAGTGAAGCCAGACGTTATAAATTTCTGATGGAGGGAATCTGCATGTTTTTCAAAGCTGGATATTAACATGGTTTGAGGTCTTTTTAGTACGTCTTAAGTATTTGATGTAGTAGTGGTTGATCGCTAGAGGTCTTAACTCCTGGACAGCCATGGTTGTGTCTATTGGAAATCTATTTATTATAAGCTACACCCATGTCTGGGGACTAAAGTTTTATTTCCCTTGATAACCATTATGCTCTTTACTAAGATGGAGATAGTAACATCAGCTAGCTGGTTTTTCTCATGGTTAGAGCTGCTCACGGGTTTTGGTAGAACATTTCATCTGCATTCCCTGGTGAACATTTCCTGAAGTACTGCCTGTCCTTCTCACTAGTGTTAAAAACTGAAAAGATTTCATTGAAAATCAAAATTTTCTTTTTACGATCCTTAATGTAAAATCAAACATCTGTTGCTGTAAATTAAACACCAGAAGGAGCCAAATTTTGCTCTGTGAAACACTGACATGAGGAACGTGAATTCTAAGCTTGATTGCTTTCCAGGAAAGCCACTGATATAGCTAAGACTACCACATGGTTATACTGGATGACATTTGAGGAAAAACCCAGTTTTCTTCCTGGGAAAAGCCAGACTGAGGAGCTTCTAACTTTGAAGTGCTGCGCCATATGCCTTCTTAAACATACTCACTCTGTGCCAGCACTTGTCTTGAAATTCTCCGTTGTTCTCTATGTGCTCTGGCAGAAACAAAGTTATGCAGCCTTGCACCGATTTGTATGGGCAGAAGCAGGCAGAAGCTGCAGGTGAATCTGGCCACTGAAGCTGAGTTATGATATTCAGCCTTCAGTTGACAACTAAAGTGTTTAAGTTACTCATCAAGGCAGAACAAACTCGTTGACACAGTTACCATGAAGCAGAAGGCTAAGAGACGTCAGGATTGAGAGTGAAAAACCAAGTATAAGTTTCTCTAGAAATACTGATTTCATGTTACCCAGATAAGTAATTGACACTTTCAGAAAGAATTGAATATTCTTTTTGTAAAACTTCAGAAATTAAAACTGAAAATAATGAGGATGTTTTGGGGTTTGTTTCTTTTTGGATAGGGGGATCCAGGACCCAAGGGGCCACCAGGAGATGATGGAATTCCTGGAAAATCAATAATGGGACCAGAGGTAGGAATTTTGAGACAAAAGATGGAAAATAGCTACGAAACATATGCAAAACTGTTGTGAAAATGTAGAAACCACTTGAACAATTTTTTCAGGAAAGTAACTAACCAATTCTTCAACTTTTCCATCATTCCAAGCCTATTTGTAAGAATAAGCTATCTTTTCAAAGAAGAAACACAAAGTAGATACAATAATTAGTCCAGTGTGCCTCACCATGCAAACTTCCCTCAGAAATTCTTTATTAGGAAGGTAGCTCTTCAAAATCATCTCCACTTTTCATTATCTCACGTCGTCTTTTATACCTCTGTATGGGCAATATGCTTTTCACCAAGTATAAACTGAGACGTATTAGTTATTTTAACAGTGATGTTTCAGTATTACCAACCTTGCACATTCACAAACATAGGTAAGACCCAAAATAATGAATTTTAAAAATAGATCTTTTGAAAGTACTTATTTGCATATAGGTTATAGAATAGGCTTTACTTCGTTACAGCCTTTACATTTTTAACTTCAGCACCAAGAATGGAGTACAGTATTCTGTAGCTGGATTGCTGTGCTTACTGTTTGAGCTTTTAGTGTTTAGATGGCAAGATGGACATGCAAGTGAAAGACCAGAGATAAAACTGAGGATTCAGTGGTAACACAGAGATTGCAGTCTTTCCAAAAGTGACAGACTAAAAAATTTTCCTCTGTAGTACACGAGTTGATATAAGGCTGCTCAAAGAATAAGGTGAGACCAAGGACCATCCTTTTACCAGTAAGGAATCAGTTAGAGGAAAATGATATTGATTAATTTGCACAGGATTAATTTTATGGTTTTTGATCACTGAATGGTGAAGTGACCTTTTCAAAGAATGATTCTCTCTCTCGCCTTTCTTAGAGGTAATAGTAGTTAAAGATGACTGTTAGGTACATAAAGGTATGACTGCTTTTTCTCCTTGCATAATGCATTGTAGTTTTCAGCATGGACTTTTGTCTGGTATTTTATCACCAAATGTCTTGTTATTTAAGGGTTTTTCTTCAGCTCCTTGGAATTGTCTTTCATTTAACTAATTGGAATAACATGGCATAATTAGAAAACAGTGCCACTCAACTTTCTACATTATTTAAGAACAAACTGCGGTCCATAGAACAGTTCCCATCTCCTCTACTGCAAAAACTGGATATATTTCCTTTTGCTTTGCAGCTTTCACTTCCTCCCATCTAGTGCATTGTACTTCTATCAGTTGTGATCTGGGTTGAAACTTTACATAAGCCTTCTGCCACTTGTGATGAGAGAATAAATAGTGCAGGAAGACTTCAGTTTTTGGGAAAGATAACATTCTTGTGATCTCCTTTCCAGACTGAGGTCAGGAACATTCTTAGTAAACCTCTTTCTTTCACATTTACCATGTCTACACATAAGATGTTCCACTCAATTACAGTTTCACTTCCTGGGATAGTAGTCGATAGACCCAGATTCAGAGACCAATTAATTTATGTGTACCCAACACAATGTAGTTCAAAATAAAGGAACCTAATGCAATTTTTTGTGTGATAACATCATAGGTATACTAACAGTGTATAGGTATAGGTATACTATACATCATAGGTTTACTAACAACTCCTGGATTGACAGACTTCTGTCAGTACACCTACAGGAGGATGCTGGATAGCACATTGATCCACATGCATTCAGTATCTTTTATTTTTTAATTTTCAAAAACTCCAATTACTTTGTCTGTAATATAGAATGCTACTTCACTCTGGTTTTGTTATAAAACGAAGTGATGAACGTAACTTAATTGTCCATTCATATGCTTCTACTTCACCATTTAGGTTTTAATTATAGCAGTTATTTTTTATCTTAACAATGACCATGTCCTGCTGGATATGCAGAATACTATCTGCAAACATTTTTAAACTTCTTCCTCTTACCTACATATGGTGATGTCTATAGAACGTGAAAGCCATGGACATAAGATTTATGTTTATATTCTCTTTATCTTTTTTTTTCTTCTTCTTCTTAAAGAGGGTAGAAGCAACTATCCCTATTTTACAGCTTCAGAAAATTACTTTAAAACCTAACCTGGAAAGTTTGGCAGTGTAGATGAATTAATTCAGCATGCCATCTGTGACAACAATGGCACTCGCCTTGTTGCTGTTGAACTGACTTGCAATAAGTCACTGTGATTGTCTTTTCCAGACCCCACAAAACTGTGGGAAGCAGTAATCACAGAATTGCTCCGGGGTCATCTCTTGTGTATTTTTGATGCAGCTATTAAAAAAAAATCTGGTCTAGAGAACTATTTCTTACAGAAGATTTGGCTGTAGATTTGACTTAAGCAGATGAATAGCTGTGTTACTAATGGAAAAAACATCCACTTGACAAAATTCCAATTCTTACAGAAAAGACTGTGTTAACATGTATTTGGTATTTACAGTGGTCTCCTAAATTAAAACATCTGTTTGGCTGCTTTTTGCTGCAGTGGAACTAGAAGTAAAAATAGAGATGAACTCATGAGCCATGGTTTCCTTTCCTGTTAAAAAAAAAATGTTATTAGACATTTCTAAGACATTTCTCATTTTATCCACAATTTAAGAACTATGGATATTAAGAATGAGGAAAAGGTAAAATTGGCTTTCTGTTATAAAGCTATTTATGAACTAGAAGCACTCATTGGTTAATTTTTCACAGAACTTGACCAGATTTCCATCATTTGAAAATTAGGAAACATGAAGAAACATCTTCCAGGGCCAGTTTGAATCTGGCGGTCAGTTTGTGTTTAAAGTCTTTCAGTGAAACTACCTCTTTGGATTGAGAATAAGAGCAATTGATACAGGACTGACCTACCATGTACAGTTTTCTTTAAGCATAAGGCATGCTTGCATCCCTATCCCAAATTCCATCTTAAAGTGGTTTCAGGGTTTCATCTTAATCAGAACATTGAGTTTACCTTGTCTTTCTTCGTTCATTTACTTCCTAACTGAAACCTGTGAGGTACATCTTTAGGAGAGCCAAAGCAGCTCTTTCATTTTTCCTTGGCAGGGCTAAAGTTGGTTAAGAAGATTGATTGCTTGTGTCTATGACAGAGGTGTTCATAGGACAGCACATTTGGACTCAAAGTCTGGTTTTGTCAGATACCTAACTAGAATATGAGTCGATTTGTTCTCCAGGCATGGAGGCTTATTCAGACAGAACAGTCCATGACATCTGAGCTCATATCAGGACTCCATTTTGTTCTTTCTTGAAACATTATATTATTGCAGAATTTTACAGGTAAAATGCGCTAATGACACAGAAGTTTTCAGTCATTTGTAGTTTCTTTTTTTTCTAGATATTTATTTTTACTGGAATAGACAGGGAAATACTTGTTGTTTGAATGTAATTATTCTTCAGGATATGTGTATTACCAACTGACCCTCCAACACTCTGCCAGAGTGTCCATTTACATGTCTTGGTTCTGTGGGACTGAGTACAGGGTGTACATTTCTCCCTGTATGGCCATACACATACTGTGCTTAGGACCACAGTGGGTGTGTAGCCTACAAGTATCAGTAAGGATTTCTGGTTGGCAGTGTTTCACGTAGGAACGTCTACAGTACAGACTGACAGTCTATCTTGAGGGATACCTTAATGTTTTCTTTATCGGTTCTGTGAAGGAAATATTGCAAGCTCAGTTAAATTTCCCATTAAATATCAGGAAAACTATCACTGGAACGAGGGAAGAGGAAAAGATTGTTATTTGCTTCTCTTCTGGTTGGAAAAGGAAGCATTGAGGTTTTGGAAATGCACAGATCTTTAGTTGGAGTCAGTGGAAGAGTCACCAGAAGGAGTGATTGTCTCTTGATACAGAGGCTGATTTTAGGCTAAACTGAGAGAAATTATATATTTCTTATAATTGGTTGTGTTTCTTTCTTTCACTTCTTTCCTTTGTAGAATGCAGTTTTGCTTTACTGTATGAGAGAAGCAGTGTGATTACCTGGAAATACAAAATGTGTGATATAATATAGCTTAAGACTGGCATGTTGTGTTTCAGCATTGTTAAATTCATTCTTCAAGTGTCAGGACTTAGCCCCAGAGTCATAAAAGGTTAACTTTTTAAAAATAAATTTAACTTTGTATTGGCTTAAGATAAAGTCAATGTTCTGAATATTTCTCTCTGCAACTACAAATCTCAAAATTAATAATTTCCTAATGAGGACTCCTGTTCTTCTGAAGTCTTGATTGGGTCAACTGAAGGGACAAGAAAAAAGCACCAAAAATTTCTGATCTTTGTGAACGAATAGCAAGAGCTCGTAACTGCTGTCTGTATTCCCAAAAGGATATTAAATAGTTTGCTTACACATTTGTTAATATTTGTTGCATCGTGACAGTTACTGGCACAATGCCTGACTTAGTATTTTGTATTTAGGGTAACCAAGGACTACCTGGACCACGTGGACCTCCTGGAGAAAAAGGCAATGGCCACAAAGGTGAATCTGTAAGTACAATTTTAATTCTGTACTTTGTGTTCTACCAAACAAAAAGATTACTGTACAATAACTCAATATTTTATTACTTAACTAAATGCAATTAATATTCTCTTTCATCCTTTAGTTAATTCAAATATTTCATATATATTTTGAAGTTCTTTCCAGTGACAGTTTTACAGGCAGTCAGAAGCAGATATAAACATTTCTCATTTCAGCATCATGAAGGGGATGCTATGTAATTCCATCAAAATCTTCATGGCTGCTCATACATGTTTAATACAATCACAAGTTTGAATTCTTTTCCTTCCTTCCCTCCCTTTTTTTTACTGTTCTTTATTTAAGATCAGTAATAACATCTGCTTGGTAAAATCTTTCCGCCCTCAATTCCTTGGGTTTTCAGCTCCTTTTCATACCAAGGGGTTAAATCCTCTTTTTGAAGCTTACCCCAACCCTTGCTTTCCTGATGGTTAGCTCCAGAGGGGGTTAATGCCTGAGTATTCCCGCTGGCACATTCCAGTACAGGGGCATATCATCCTGAATTTCAGTCATCCAAAGCCGCACAGGCATGTTTGATGAGCCTTTCACTAGAAAGTGAAAATACTGTTGCATTCCTTCAACCACCACATGTCAAATTTCCATTAGCACTGTTTTCTTTATGTCTGTAACCCAGCTTTATTTCAAACTACAACCACAAAGGCACTCCCAAATACACTGAGGTGGGACCTGAGTGCTTCCAAATAAGTCATGGTTCAGCTCCAATTTCCTGTCATTCAAACTGATCCTGGGAAAATCCTTTGGGATCAGAATTAGTTCAGAGGGCATTCACTGAGAATTCCTGGTATAATGCCATGTACCTCACACATTTCACAGTACACAGGGACACTAGACCAGCTCATGACTCCTTGGAGGGTCAAGGACTGCCAGTAGTGGACCCAGACTATTAAACAAAGTACAAACTGCAAACACAAAAAACCCTTACTGTCATCCCAAATAAAACTGAAAAGCAAATGCAAAGACAATCATGAGGGAGTGATGCAAATAAATGACTGAAGAACTTTTAGTAGGCCTTAAAATCACAGAAATAAATAAATGCCTCATAAGAACTGATGTTTTATGCTTTACAAGTTATCTGTTTAAGCTATATTTAGTTTAAAAATAAGTATTGATAGATATAGAATCAAAGAGGTCAGTGAGAAGCTGAAGACTTCTCATTTCTAATTAATCAAAGAATTCAAGAGAAGCCTGCTTTGGTAACCATTGATTAATAAAACTATACAAATGCCCAGTCACAGGAAGACAGATTTAGGAGTATGTGTTTCCTGTATTTCTATTAGTGACTAGAGAATTAAAAAAAACCAGCTTTGCTCTACAGTAGTATTCCTGAAATCATGTCTATTCTAGGATTCCCATCTACAGCTGTCGTAAGAGCCGTGCTTCTCTGCAACTCAATCTCAGGCTTCAGTAAAAGCTGCTTTTTTCTGCCTGCCAAATGAGTACAAGTCCTTGAAATATGTGAAGGTTCTGCTGTGCTGCAGCATGCATCTTTCACCTTCGCAGGCCACCTTTCCACACCCCATGATCTGGAGAGACCCAGCTTCATAAACCACTGGCAGACATGGGACAAGATGTATGTAGCTAAGTCTCTGTGGCATGATGGGGAAAATACGTCTGCTCTATGAATGCTGAAAGGGAGGGTGGGAATGCCTCCAACAGTATAAAGGGCAGCTGAAGGAGCTGTGATAGCTTGAGCGGGGAGTTCAGGACAACAGACTACTGAACACAAATACACCAAAGTATGCTAGGGTTACCCACCCCAGATTGAATGGGTTAGCTCTGGTATCCCAGATGTGTAATGTCTGCAGCGTATGAATCACGGAGCAATGTCTGCTTTCTCACTGCTTTCTCTGAAATGAGAACAACTCCAGTGTTCTTAAGTCAAGAGCTGGACTTCTTTTCCACCACTCAGGTAGTCTTTTCAGGTTTCCACCTGGGACTGAGGATGACTGTTGCTCAGTACACACTGGAAATCTGAAGAATGCAGCAAAACCAAAGAGATTAGTAACTATGGCTGAAATTCTCTTCTTCGTTGAAGAACAAAAGTACTCTTCCTTTAGGACAACTACTGACATGCTTTATTTCTCTGCTATACCAGGGACCCCCAGGACCACCAGGCCCCCCAGGACCACCAGGCCCAAAAGGCGTGGGAGATGCTGGACCAAAGGTACTTGTACAGTGGTAGTATGTGCATTTGACTAGTAGACAAGATAGACAAACATGTCCCAAAAAATGCTTTAGATTAGAATGGCATGTATGTGTCAAGCTGCTGCGAACTCGTCTCCTGCTTTCCATTTCAGTTCAAAGAAAAATTTGCAATAGATACAAACCAGTTCTTGCTTTATCCACAGACTTGATGCAAATCTGCAGGTTTTCCATACATCCAAAGACCCAGGATGTTTCTAGAGCCTGGAGTTGCAATGTGGAATTCAGGATCCAATACAAACAGAGCACTGCCTAATAATTATGCACATCCTTTCCCTTACAATGTGCAAGGGATGAGGCCTTAAAAGAGGCAGGGGGAAATACTGGTTTCATGGAACTAGCGAGATATTTTTGAAGTTCCTAGAAATTGTTTCCTAATAGAAGACTATAAACCTTATCCAAAATCAATATTGGTTTAGAGGAAAAATTTGGCAGGGGAAAAAAAATTGTGAAGGGATTGGAAATATAATACTGAAACACTTCCAAGTTTTTATCATAAAACACAGAATAGTCAACGTGTTATAAAGTTCTAAGTGGTATGTAATTCATCTAAAAAACCACATTGTAACTACTATCTTATAAAAAGTTGGGAAATAGATTCTTAAGACTAAAATCATGCAAGAAAATGCTTTACAGTATCCTACAGAGTGGTTTTATTAATTATTTCCTCATTACATATGTGAAATAGGAAACAGGCAGCCTGTTGTAGGAGAAAGCAAAATAAATATTGCCCAAATAAGTTATTTCCCAAACAGAAGGAACTTTCAACTTCAGTTCCCAGAACATGAGAATTACCATTTAAAATAAACAACAATAACTTCTTAAAAACATATCCACAATAAGGGAATAATTGAAGGATATTCATCCTTGGAGTGACCACAGAATGGCCTGACAATGGGATCTGAGAAACCTGGCTGTGTGTTCCTATTCTGAATTACTGCTTATTAACACAAGACATTTCACATGAAGTAATGCAAGGTCTGGCCCTTGACACAAACTACTAAAGAACTAAAAGCAATTTCAGTTATGTCATTGAATACAGACTTACAGAAAATATGTATTGTTAAACTAATTAGATTTTTTTATATGAGATTATATTGTTTCCAAGATAGGGATATGAGACTTGATATAATACATATTAGACATTTTTCTTGCTACTACAGAACATTTCATTAAAATCCTAGAATATTGTATGAAATTATTAAGGTGGACATTAGATAAAAATGTAACTTATGACTGCAAGATGTCTAGGCACATCGTTATGTCTGGAATTTCCCTCTGGTTCCTAAATACATAATTCTGGAAAGTAGTGTTTCCCAAAGAAATGGAATTGGAAGGTCATGTCAGGTAATCACATGAAAGGATCTCCCACTGTGATGCTATGGTTGAAAGATTACAAACACCAGAAATACAAATCAGAATTGCATTGAGATATAGGGGTTTAACATAAAGAAATTTGAGTTAAATCCAATGTGGAAACTTTTTTTTTTAAAGTGAAAGGAAACGACTAGAATAATTGTAGTGAAATTCCTCACAACTGCGTTTTTTAAAAACAATGCTTGTTGCATTTTTTGAAAAGTATCACAAATATACAAGGTATACAGAATTAAACTTAGAAAGATCATAGTGCCTGTCTGTCTTCAAGGCCAGGCTGGATGAGGCTTTGAGCAACCTGGTCTAGTGAAGGGTGTCCCTGCCCATGGCAGGGGGGTTGGAACTAGATGGTCTTTAAGGTCCTTTCTAACCCAAACCATTCTATGATTCTGTGATATGAGAGCGCAAAAAGCAGGTCACAAGTCTCCTGTTCTCGTAATCATGAATCCATGTAGTTGCTGGGATAAGCAATTCTTCAGCTGTATAATTATTATGAAAGTGCCAGCCCAGATCTTAACTGATGGAAGTACAATATGGTATCTTTAAATGCATTAGAGGGGAGGAGGTAAAAGCTGTAAAATAAAAGAAAATTTATCCAGTTTTTGCAGTGACAGACATGGGATCTAGTCTTTTTATCACACTGTAAGGCTTGTGATATAACAACATATATATTTAATTAAATCATAGTTTAGCTATTATTCTACTTACAGTTTTCACTTTCAGCTCTAAATGATGTAAATCATTGCTAGTTGAAGCGAGTTGTTCATATTCCTTTATAAAGACATCAAATCCATACTTGTCAGTCTCTTCTCCACCCATGAACAGCGTGTTACCATCCCTCCAGATCTGTGGGCTGAAGTATAATTCTAGTAGTAGGAAAGAAGGGTTGTTGGTAATACCTCTTTGTGGAGGAATATGGCCTGTGTTGTGTTAGTTGAACATTACCAATTAATGATATATTTGGCAATAGCCTCACTACTTCAACCTGAATTTGACTGAGCACAAGTGAAATACATGTGCAAACTCAGTCTTCTCTGGTGACCTGCATGAGTGTCTTAGGCTGGATCAGAAATGCACTGTTGAAGTGAATCTCCCAGTGGACCCATTTACTGTGCTTTAGATTCCAAAGGTCTGTGCGGTCCCACAAATCAGGAAATGTTTTTCCTTCAGATGACGCTAAACTAGACCTGATCTGGAAGTGCTCTTAATGTACTTCTACCCCCAGCAGGTGATGAGTCCACAGGAGCAGACCAGGCAGGTCTCCTCACATTGCTTACAGGGTAAACATCAGGCTGCAAATCTACTGCTACTGAGCTTGTAGCACTATTTGTTGATGGACATGTAGAGTTAGAAGCTGCCTATCCTAATAATCAGTTGTGGGGTAGATTCAGAATGCACCATATCCATGGGTTATGGGGAAGAGTTGTATTACAAAGAACCCTGCAGAGTATCTCTTTTCAAGTGACACAACACAATTAGGGCAAATCATACCTGTATGAAAAGTTCTGCATGGATCTACATTGTGTTGCAATGTGATGTTGCCCATTAAGTCTGGCTGCTCAGAGTAGTGCTTATCTAAGAGTGTCAGTCAGAAACATTTAAAAAATCAGGACTTTAAAAACATCTGATAAAAAATTAATTTGTATTTTTTACTTTTAAATAGTTAAGTTTCTTTTTTATGATGTACCTAGATGGGTGTGTTAATCCTATGGGGGAAAATGCATATTGCTTCTGTAAACAGTGAGCAGCTGTAGCTTTTGCAATGTGTGACTGTTGCACAAAGCACGCATCATCCAAATGGAGAGTTGCATCTGTGATTTAGTTCTGTGCATCCACACTGGACATGGTGTAGAGTACACTGGGAAAGAAGAAACGAAGTATATAAACATCTCTTCTCAGTCCCTGATTTTTTGCTCCTGTCTGCTTATACAATGTTTTGATTCCTTAACTGCTGCATAACATTCTGGTAACAAAGGTGCCACAAGGAGAAACAATTCACTTGAATTGCAAGAATTCTCCCAGAACTTAGATAATAAAAATAGACAATCATGGTGGTTGTTTTTTTTAAATAAAATATAAATGCACTGGCTACCTCTTCTCTCTCCCACATAAAAAATGAATATACGAAGAACAGCAGTAATCTCTGCCTATAAAAAAAAGAACATTTATTTGATAGAAGAGACTCATAAATTTACACACTAGTTAATTTGAAATTCCTTTGAGTATCATTATATAGGAATGTTCCACTCAGCTGAATCAGAGCTCTGTTCTCCTCACTTGCAGAAATGGCTCACATATGTGCACACTACTAGATAGGAATTTTATGTATCAGAGGTCAAATTCACATGAAAACGAAATTGGAACATGTGGGATGCATTCAATCCTGGCAGCACCCTATTTTCTGTAGCATTAGAACAGAAGCACATAATGTTAGAATGTAATAAAACATTGATTTAAAAGCACTGTTGCCAACTAGAAGGTGGGTTACAGACATTCAAGACCAAGAGCACAGGACTGGAAGTTAAGCAAGTTTCATTCTCAGTAACGGGAGGATTATTGAAATCCTTAGTGTAGTCCCTGGTGCATGAACATTTGGGCTGGATCCAGTTGCAATATAAATAACTTTTGTAGCTTGGGTCCTGTCTATTTGAACTAAAATGTGGAAAGTAGAGATGCAATGTCTTTTTTAATATGTTCTTCTTATAAATATCTTTATATCCACTAGCTCTCGCTAAGGAGAGTATTGCAGTGTCTGTTTTATGTTTCAGTATCGAATACACATGCTTCGGAGTAAATGAGATTCATATATTTGCAAGCCAACATTTATTTTTCAGGTGACCATTAGGTCATTTAATGAATGTTCATGAGCAAATGGTAAGGAACAGACATTGGAATCCCATACTTTACACTGTCTTGACTCAGCTCTTTATTTCTTGTTTCAGTGATGTTTTTCTAGTTCACTGTTTTCTGACGGTAAAGAGCTTGTCTACAGGCACAATACAGGAAATAAATTAGAGCTTATCAAAGAACAGTACTGATCCTTCTTGAAATGAATTCCCTGGAGGACAGTTTAGTGTCACACCTTAGGAAAAAGAGCTGCTCCACTTCACAAGTCATAAAGCAAAATAAAGAAGTCTTTTCTCTAAGCCAAGGAATACAGAAACTTTGAGGATTACTATAAAGCTCTACAAAAGAGCTTTTCAGTGAGACATCTGGAATTAACTAAGCATGTGAGGCTAGAATTCAGTCCTTCACCTGCAACGACCCTGAGTAAGAATGCGTTACCCATGGGAGGAAGAGACAGATGACTTCAAGTCACCTTTGTGCTCTTTTGGTCAGGGCTGGTCTAAGAGCAGGTTGTAGGTGTATTGGATACTGGACCATAAGGCATCATTTACGTCTTTAGGAACCTCCCATTCAGCTGCCATCACAGCGACTTACAGGCTGTTTCACAGGCCACAGGAGCCCAGGATTTCCTTTAAAAAAAACTTATAATGCAAAGTCTTACCTGTATGTCCACCTTAGCTCTGGCACCTCTGGCAGGTTTCAGAAGCAGGCTTGGGCAGGGAAAGTTGTGACTACTTTGCACAACTTCAGCTCATGAAGAGTTCTACAAAACCATGTATAAAAAACAGATTGGAGTGGTCTCTCACCAGGTCTTGAACCTTGGGCATTTCACCTATAAGTAGTTGTTATAACTGCACATTCCTCACAGAAAGAAAGTCAGTAGAAGCCTTTTGTTTCCTTCCTTTTTAATCAGTTTGATATGGTTGATATGTTATTTTTTTTCACTTAGAACTCATGTCATCTGTGATTTGTGTGACCTATACTTGCACCTCACTCCTAGTTAGAATGCTCCCTCTGCAGGCACAGCCATTTCTACAGCTTTTCTGGGTGCAAATGAAGTACAATGAAGAGACTTGATAATGAAATGTTTTATTTTGTCAAGAAATACAATTTCTTCTTGGCTCTGTTGTTAATATATTGGACAATCAATAGCTTATCAGAACATTGCTTTCTTTCACACTTGCCTGCACAGGCATAGGTTTAGGGCCATTTTCTAGACATCATTCAGAATTTTCTGCATCTGTATCTTATAAGCTATAGATTTATTTTTTCTTTTCAAACTGATGTGAGTTTTTTCTCCTCTTCCCTCATTGCCCATTCCCTCATTTGTACAGTCATGGACTGAGGAAAAAAAACCTGCCTCTTATGTCCCTGTCCCTTACCACTACCAGTAATGTCCCCTGACCCCCATCTCCTTCCTGGGCTGGGCTGCAGCTCAAGGGGCAGCACCTGGCTCAGTGTTACCTGCATTACCCCCCTGGCCAGCTAACTTCTGCCTTCTGTCTGCCTGCTGGTTAAGGGATATATATTCCAGAAGAAAAAAGAGGACTAACACAGGCAAGCAGAAACACAGGCAGGGTATCACTTAAGCATCATTCCCTTAGGAAATCAAGCTAAACATATATGCATTAAGCTTTTTAAGTAAACAAAGAAAGGGCTGCTCTTTTTGTTCTTCTATATCAATGCTATTAAAATTCATTTAGTTTTCATAAACACATTAGTTTGACAGTTCTGGAAATTAAATATCTCTAGTTTCAGAACAAGCACAGTATCAGTGATCACTGATGTGTCCCACTGGTAAGCCCCTGCAGAACGTGATGGGAAAATGGTGGTGTTTCCAAATGAGTTTGCTTTTCTTTTTCTTCTGAAGCTGATAAGCATGCAAATTAAAATGCTACCTCTGTTGGTGATTTAATCGTGTGGACCTTTGCATGTGGAATAGTGTTCTTCACCTAGAGCTTAAATATTGTGGGTGCCTGCATTCTGGGCTTTTTTATATCAGTAAAGCAGTTGTTTATGTATATAATGTTTGTTTTGCTTTTTAAACTCAGTAGTTTGGCTAACTACTTCATAAGTGGATGAAAAGTGTAACAGTTAATAGGTGATAAATTGCTGACATTGCTGTGACTATTTTTAGGGAGATCATGGAATGAAAGGCTATCGTGGGCCCCCGGGACCACGGGGCCCACCAGGAACAGATGGTCCCAAGGTTGGTACAATGCCATTTTGCAGCTTTCTGCTCTTTGTGGTGCTGGTTGTTAGACTGATCTCTCAGACACCAGAATATCTTGCTTTACATTGGTACATCTGCAGGAGAAATCATGGGCAACTGACCATACCCTTCTACCAACTGGATTAGGAAGAAACACTGACTCGATGAAAGTGCATTTGCAGCTATACTTTATGAGATTACAGCTGGAAATTGAACAGAGCTAGCAGGCTGATAAATGTGTTAAATGATGCATTTCTTCTGTGTGTATCTGTTCTGTTTCCAAGAGATTGTTTTGTGGTGGAAAATATGTTAAATGCAAGTTTTACATTTGCAATTTTTGTCAGTGAAATTGAATCCAATTAATTTTATCAGTTAAACCATTAGGAAAGAAACATGAAAACAAAAAGTTAATTCTGTAAGTATCCAACATACAACATCTGGGCAATTTTTTCCTCCCTCCACTAAATGATTTAGAATTCAAAAAAGAAATACTAGTAAGGAAAGTAATTCAAATCATGGATTTCTTTATTATAGACACATTCATCAATTATTTTTACAAAGGCAGTAGGAGAAACATTGGGCTTCTGTGTATGTTTCACCACTTTAACTTAAGTTAAAAATACATATGTCTTTTAAACTTTGTCTAGTTTTTTTAGCAGAAATTAACAGAAGTCTCCACTGCCATTTTGCATAAATCACTACCTGAATGGTGAAACATTGCTATTACCAACCTGTTAGAGAAATTCAATAAATGCAATGACTGATAGAGCATGAATATTTTCTCAGGATGTATGTCTGACTTTCCCTTCATTTCTGAAAGCTGCTGCAATTTCAGCACATTGGTAATCATACGTGTTTTAAAAAAGTAAGTTTGGATTTGTGTCAAAATCCCACAAATACATGACACTATGCACTGCTTCCGCAAAGCTTTCAAGAATGAAAAATGCTAGGGAAACAGTATTTTTTTTCAGGAGCGAGGACCTCCTTGTAGCATGTAGTTGTTGAGACAGGCTATTTAACACTGCAATGTTTTGTGTGAACCCCTGCTTATACATATGTAGATTAACAGTGTTTTTCACAAGAGATTCTGTCAAAGTTTGTGGAAAAGTTTTTGTCTACACAGATGAGTGATGACTTTTCAAAAGTCACCAATATCTAGAAGTTAACTATTTAGAGCTAAGTATTTCTGTTTAACGAGGGTAAGTTTTGATATACTTCTGCATAAATATTCAACATATGTAAAATATAGATAATTTATATACCACTGTATGAATTCCATTTACTGTATTGGAGCACAGTAGTTATTTATTATAAGATAGTAATCAAAAATCCAACCTGAATCTACAGAAACTCTTAGGAAGCTGGGTCAAACATGGAGAGCTTTTTTTAACTAGAAAAAAACCCCAAAAAACCAAACAAACTAAAAAAAATTTTAAAAAAAGCGAACAACAACAAAAAACCCCCACACCAACAGAAAAAGGAAAAAGCAAACATTTAATTTTGATGTAATCAAAGGAAAATGCTCCCTCTGTCAGATTAGCCTGCCTCCAAAGCACAAGGGGTTTGTCCAGCTTTGACTTTATCAACACAAATCAGCAGGTGCTGCTTTGGCTTTTCTCTCCTCCCTTCCCACTTAAGATTTTCTGAATGACTGGTGCTCCCAGAGACAGTGGAGCCACATTGAAACATACACAACTAACGTGCTGGGCAGATTTACTCATACCGGGTTTTATTCCTCTGGTCCTTGGTGCCTCTACTCTTCATTGCCCTTGTCTGGAGAGATTGCACAAAGCTGTTGGATAAAGATGATTTCTCTTGGTTTCTACCCAGGAGAAACAGGAAAAAATATCACACTGTTTCATAGGTGTATTTTATTCCTTAATTATTTTCAGCTTGGTTGATCCTTTACATTTCTTGGAATTAGCCAGGGACTATTACTGAGGCCCAGAGTGTGAAACCATAAACCAAATAAGAATCAGAACTAGAGTCTTTGAAATGGTTTCTCTTTTTCCTTGCAGTTATTTTGAGATTACTTCCTTAGTATTACCAGGAATATAGCTTACCTTCTTTTGCCCCACTGACTGTTACAGGGTATTATGGGACAGAAAGGCGTGCCTGGTCCACCTGGCCCCCCTGGCGACAGCGTAGAAGGAAGCAAGGTAATCCAGTTTAATGTGGTATCTGTCTAATTTCTTCTCAAAACTGTCTCTTCAGGAGATTCGTTGCATGTTTTTCTCCCTGCATAATTTCTCTGTGAATTCTGTTTGCCACTGAGTCAGTGCAGTCTTGCAAATATTCATGGCAAATTAAATTTTCTTGTTCACAAGGTATGTAATATTAACTTTATTGAGTTTCCAGTATTGTTGGCACCCGCTTGCTCTCCTACTATTCTTGGCATTATAAATATATTTAACCTGGGAAAAAAGTCTCAACACTGCCACATCTTACTGACTGACTTAGATTTAAAGCATGCTCCTAAGAAACCATCCAGGGTTTTCTCTGGATGCCCTTATAAAAGACAGTAACAGAGGTCTACCATGTGTTGTCAAAATAAGTCAAACAGCACATACAGGAAAACAGAAGAAATGAACCAGTCTCCCACATGCCCGTTATCAGTTTTTTTTTACCCAGTTCCAGCTTAACTGTAACCTCTCTCCTTATAAGGAGAAGCATAAACATAGTAACATATTCTGAACACTCAAAGTTAATAAATTGTCTTGTCATAGACGTGTGGAAGAAAATTATTAAAACTGGAGGCTCTAGTGGAGAACAACCCAGGTTTCTCCTATTTCTTTTAAATCAGTGTGCTTAAAATTGAGCATATGAGTGAATACTTCCCTGGATCAGGAAGCCTGTGCTTATCAAATCACCAGTGATGCAGAAGGAGAAGCACTATTTTTGTTGGATTAGGAAAGATGCCTCTCTATACTGCAGTTGGCTGGAGACACTAAAGGCACCGAGGCTTTACTGACAAGGTAGGTTTTCAGTGGAAAAGTGACATGCTGAAACAACAACAAAAAAAATCTTTAAAATGTACCATGTTGGTGAAACATTTCATAGCAGAACCTTTCTTTGGTTAGGGGTGGAATTATTTCATACAAGCTTTACCAGGAAAGCACGAATTCCTTCTGAATTTTTGTTCAGTACTTGCTCCAATTCCAGCTTCAATGCATTCTATTTTTGTATTAATGTTCAGTCATTTCCCTTTCTATACTACAGAGAATCCTTCCTTTTTTTCGCTGTGAGGTGTTTTACAGCATAAAAACATACTTTACCATGTTTTTCCTTTTCTCCTTATTGTATATTTGTCTTTAAAAGATGCTTATTTATCTATCTCGGGACTTTCAGATGGAGATCTCTGCACGGTTTGAGTCATCTAACTGTGTGACCTTTGGTTTTCATCTATTTGCAGCTTTCTACTATATTAGCTGTTATCAGTAACCACAGAGCTATTGGTATTCTAATGGCAGGGCACAGGGAAATTCTGATTTCCTTTTCTCTTCAGCTTCTTTTGTTTGCTAAATTTTTGAAGGCTTGTTGCTCTGTTCTTGTGGAAAATGGAAAAAAATCTGTCATCTCTTTATGGCTTAACAGTGTAGGAAAACTATTTCCTGCCTGGCTTTAATAGACATTTCTGATATGTTTCCAGAATCTAATACTTGGAATATATCTTTGTTAATTCTGTGGGTATGTAAGGTTAGTTATAAAAGTGTGATTGCCATTCTGTACAGAAATGTTTCAGCAACCAAATGCATCTGGTGATACATGAAAAAAAAATACAGTTTATGTAATGTTTTTTTCTGTTCCTGAAGAAGGATAAAGTTTAGTCAAAATATGCTTAGTGTGTACATATACATCTATCTGTCTGATACACACAGTTGTAGATGTTACGTTGGCACTGCTATAATGCCATATCTAAAGAATATTTTAGAAGTGTAGAGAGCTCAGTTTCATCATGGAAGATTTCCAGTTGAAGAACAGTCCACTGACACACACTGTCAGGCAAAGACGTGTTTGTAATGCAAGGATGTAGAATTAGGATGTGGGATGTAGGAAAGCACCTGTGCTCTGGCTATGGAAGGTCTTTGTCTTTGGGTTTAACCAAAGCTGTGATGATGTGGTGGATCAAACTCAGCTGGTGTTGTTTCTATAGCGTTCCAAAAGTTGTGTAGGTAAAGTCTCATCACTTGAATTTTCTACCCTTAACAACTACTTTTTAAAACTTACTATTATTTTTATATAATTCTTAGGAACAACTTCTTTCTGAACAACTTTGACAACTGTCTTACTCTTTTAGTACCTGTTTCTCCACACGCTGATGCTTGTTGAGCTTCTGTCTCTTCTGTCCTTCTGTCTCTTCACAGCCATGCCAAGCTTCATTCTTTTTGACCACTCTTCATCAGCTTAAAGCTACTATACTCCTGGATTTGAACGATCAGTATCACTCCAAGTATTTTTTTTATATATGCATAGAGCTTAGTCTGCATATGGTAAGAACGGAATGTCAAAAATGAGATGGTTTTCGAGTAACTTTATGTTGATAGCTACATTCACAGGTCTTCTTATTTTATGATTGGTTTCCTTTCAAAACCACAGTCTAGACATTCTCAGATCTGCACTCAGTTCCAAGAATGACATTTTAAAATAAAAATCTGCTTATTGATCAGTGATCTAGCAGGACATTAAGGTCAAGGATCCAAGGGTCTGCATTTTTACATGCATACCACTTTGGGTTTTATGATAAGACTGATAGTCAAGCTTGAATTTAATTATGTATGTGGATTGAACTGGCAAAGCAATAAATATTTTTAAATTAATATAGCATACTTCTTGGGTTTTACTAAATATTCAGTTATGATATCTATGATAAATCCTTCTTATACCGATGACTGATTGCACAAGTATTTGGTTCTGCAGTTGACATTTTAAAGGATAAAACTCACAGGTAAGCCTGTGAGAACTGTCCGCTGTACAGGTATGAAGTTTTTTGGTGCAGTAGGTCTCATTCAGCTTTCATTGCCTGAACACCATCCTAACAATGTCAAATGGCAGCAATAAATCTATAGTTTTGTTGGATCTGATGTGTATTATTAGTGAAGGACCACTGGCATACACAACATATCCTAAGTCCTGTTCATATGTATGTGCTCTGCAGAGGTGTTAATCAGTAAGTTGTGTGATGACCCTACTCAGGAAATAAACAGCCTTGTGCATGCCATTACCTTAGGAATATTTCCTATTTGCAGGAAATTCCTTTTTTTTTTTTCCTAGTAAATCAGCTGTGTAATTTGGTGCATCACAGTTTCTTTTCCAGTCTCCAGAGTTTACATAACAGTGTTTGAATTTTTGCTGCTCTAAGAAACGGGGGAGAGGGGAGGGGAGAAGTTCTGCTTACAGAGGCAAGAGGCTGATGGTTAGCAGGTCAGTGGTAGGTAGTTCCAATGATGAGCAGAGAGGTTCAGCTCCCCGACCTGGGGCTAGTGGACCAATAGGCTCCCGCAGGAGCTTGTAAAGGCAGTGCTCCAGTGGAGATGTGAACAGTGGAGTGTAGTGGGTGCCTTTGGCAGCACCGGGCAAGACCACAACACACCCATGTGCAAGCAGATGCCATCTCGGCAGCATCTCAGTTAAATCCAGAATTTGAATAGGGGAAACCATTCATGGACCATGACTCCTAGTATACTGACTCTTCTAGGACCTGGATCTTATTGTCTAAATCCTGGTGAACACACCCATGTGCAAGCAGATGCCATCTCGGCAGCATCTCAGTTAAATCCAGAATTTGAATAGGGGAAACCATTCATGGACCATGACTCCTAGTATACTGACTCTTCTAGGACCTTATTGTCTAAGTCCTGGTGAACTCCCACATCATGGGAGTCAGGAGCCTTCAGTACAAGGAAGAGGTTGACTTGGCTGTGCAGCTCTTTCTCCACCTGTAGAAATCCATAAGCCCCTGTCCTTTTCAGGAATGGTCAGTCCTTCTGCACTAGTGTGCCTTTGGTGAAGGATGGAGTCTTGATAAATTTGGAAACATTTTTGTATTTCTTTGCCCATTATGAGCAATGGAACCCCTTTAGGCCCATTTGTGAGCAGCTATGCAAGTATTGGTAACTAAGGTGCTTTGGTGAGACAGTCTTAGAGCTCTTGACCAAAAAATACAACCAACTAACTTTCTACCTGCATCTCATAGGCTCTGTTTGGTACAGGTGATGACAGGTCCTGATCTCATTTACATTCTCTCGAGCTGGTTTTGCTATCTGCACTGGGCATTGCTGTTCAGCGAATTACGTATGTAACATGAACTATGGTGAAGCATTTATGTACCAGGGAACATAATCACTTCTAGCTGGATTTAAAATGTACACAGCAGTTGTTCTGAAAAAAAAATTGTGTTACCCTGTTAAAGAAAGCAGGAAAGTTTCTGGAAACCAGATGCTGTGAAGGACTTGCTGTACGTATTTGAGAACAGCATACAGCAGAGCCTGTCTAACAACCATTATAAACGAATTTGAACTTTGTAGCTGGACTGATACTGTCTTTTGAAGAATCAGCAGAAAGATGTTCTGCTCTCTACATTGTGAAAAGCACAGATGTCCCTTTATTTACTTAAGATTAGAAAAGCTAAGTCAACCTTGAAGAGATTCTGGGTGTGTATTCCTAGAGAACATTTGTGTTGTATCTAGTTTAACTGCTTATAGACTGGATGAATAACTCTCTGAGCCTCCGTGAGGTTACTTTTGTCTTTCATCTGTTTCAGTGATATGACAATATTTCATTTAATTAATCAGGAATTAATTCTTCATTATATACTTTATAAATGCTTCATGTGTGTTCTGAATCATACCCAATTGCTTATTTCACCAAATTCAGACCACTTCTGTCTTGAAAATTACGTGCTTCATTGCCTAATAAAAATATGTGGCTTTCTCTATGATGCAGAATGGTATAAAGTGAATAGATACAGCAACATTTTCACTTTAATTTTCAGTTTAAACTTACTTTCCATATTCTGTTCAGGGAGAAAAAGGAAATCAAGGCTTTCCTGGACCAAAGGGATCAGTAGGAATGGGTTTTCCTGGACCAAAGGTAAATCCTAGGCTTGCAGTAAGGAAAAAAAAGGTAATTTTTTTCTTCCAATATTGGTTATTTGGTGTTACAGGACTTGGAAGATAAATAGAAGGCAAAGACATTGCCTTGTATAGCTAGCAAGGTAAGTGTCTGCTACTTATTGTCAGCTTTGGAGTCTGTGAAAATCCTAATTGTCATTAAGGACCAGACTCTGAAGTAGGATCTAGAATGAGGTCATACCTGTTAGCAGGAGAATAATATTAGTCACATTATGTATTCAGTTATCTTAGATATTTTTCAGGTATTACAAAATGTCCTTTTATATGCCAGGCTTTAACAAAAAAAAAAAAAAAAAAAAAAAAAGAATTGCTTTTTGACTAGTATCTTTTAAGGGCTTTGTTTTATTTGACTCATTTTTTTTACGACAAATGAAGCCCAACCTTGAATCCTCCCTTATTGAACAACTTCCTGGTTGATGAGAATTTTATTCCCATCCAACAATTTTTGTGCAAAGAGAATTTAAATACCTTGGCCATTTATTAGTGATTTTCAGATGTGTGTTAGATGGGAGCAGCCTGGCTGAAGGAAACCAAGGCTCATGGCCAACATGGATGTGCAAACCAACTGTGTGCGTACACAAATGAGATCATTGTGCCCAGGAGGAATGAGGGTTGATGTAAATGCATGATGCAGTATGCCACCTTTAATTCAGGGCATATGCCTGGGCCAGCTGGGCAGCCCCTCTCCAATAATTACAACATAGCTGAAATACTGAATTTCTTGTGAAGGCTCTGTCTGGAAAGCCTGAGGAAAAAAACTTACGGCAGTCTTCGTGGGAGAGTAGAGATGATCAGGCTCCCTAACTTTAAGAATCTACCCCAGTAACTGCTCAGTCCCCTCTGCAGTCACCTGAGGCAGGCAGTACCCATTCAGAGTCCCAGCCATTTGTTGCCTGCACTCATGATGTTCATGGTACTACAGTTTACACCGGTTTACATCATATAGCACTTTCTCAGACTTCTGTATTATTCACGCTACCACAGTTTGGAGTGTTTATGCAACAGTGAATATCAGGCTCGTTCACACAGTTTCAAATTTCTGCTTCCTAAGTCTAATTTCTGTCAGATGCCAAATGCTACATACTATAATAATAATTGCAATATTTTCATTGTGCTTCATCTTTTATTTTGATTAATCTTCATGACCCCGTGTAAGTCTCTCCAAATACTCACAATTTTTCTGTTTTCTATAAATATAGCAGACTTGTCACACATGAAAAGAAATGGTTTAGTTCAGTAGGTATTTCATTTAAGTGCCAAATACCAAAGCGATGAGGTTTTAGTATATTTATGTGTAAGAGAGTGGCAGCACCACCGCAGTCAGTAGGTCATATTTGGTCTCCCTTACGCTGACATTAACTTTATTGTTAGATTCAATTCATGGACAGGTAATGGAAAGTAATATCCTCTGCTGGATATTATGATTTTGTGGAAATAGAATAGAAACTGTCTTCTAAACTAGTGGAGACTGGTTTTCTTGATGCTGTGGAGGAGCTATGTACAATTTTCAGGTATGTAGCAGTTAGAATACAATCAGATTCAGACAAAGAGAGTCAAAAGGGTTCGTTAAAATTGATAGCAATTACCATGGTGAACGCTGAAACACAGGAGGTATCTGTGTGATTCCATTGGCTGGGTAATATCAAGGTATAGTACTAAAATAGACAGTAATCTAGATATATTTCTAAGGTTTAAAGTTTCAAGTGAGATTAAACTGATCAGTAACTTCCAGAGAGAAGTAAAGAACTGTCCTGCACAATCTCATTCTTGAAGAAAAGTCTAAATTAGAACCTGAATCTCTTGATAGTATATTCCATACCTGCATTATCTGAAAATGACCACTTGAAATACCATAATATTGAATCTTTTCTCTTTTTGTGAACCAAAAAGTCTAGTCACTTGAGGAAAAAAGTGCAGAATTTCTTCTAAATGCAAAACTATGTATTTTCCAATGGAGGTAATAGGCTGGTCTGAGGCAGTTAGGTCTCTCCATAGGTCTGAATTAACATAGGTCCAGTATAAGCATTGCTTTAAAGCTCAAGAAATTCAAAGAAGAGTAAAAAATTTATATATTCTCAACATTTGTGTAAAGATGTCTTTACCCCTCACACCTGAATTAAGGCAATTTTTCATAGAAATTTCTTAAAGATGTTTCTAGTGCTCATCTTGCTATTTGAGATCCTGCTTTCAGGTGTTCTGTTCATAATACATACAAGATAAATCGGCCACACATACACAAAAAAAAATCATAACATTAATCTTAAAAGCTCCTTGAACCATGTAACTCCAGCTCTGATGATCAACAAAACTGGAGTTACTAAATGTGTTTAATACGGTTGTTTTAAACTAGGGAGACTATGGAGATAAAGGTGATCCAGGGAGCAAGGGTGCCAAAGGAGAGATTGGAGACCCAGGACCTCCAGGACCAAAGGTAAAATACGTTTTCATATTACATAATTTTACACAATAGAATATAGATACATTTGTCTTTTGTTAATTATCTCACTCTACGTGTATGTTTTCAGGGAATTTGGGGAAGAAAAGGTGAACCTGGTCTTTCGGTAAGTATGAATTAATTTAAAAGATAGGAGTTTATTTTGGGAAACTATTTAAATGTTATGTGTTGTTACACAGGTTTGTTTATGGGGCACTGCATTGCCTGCACCTTTGTAACTAAATAGATTTCAGCATTCTTAAAACTAGAAAACACAGCAAATTAATTAATGCTCTTTTTCAGAGAGAAGAAGTTATCAGACTTATCAATGAAATATGTGGTAAGCATTCCAGTATGGAAACAAGTAGTTCTAATAAAACATACTGAATTTATATTGACTGGGTGGATTTGTCCTTTGCATGTTGCTGTGCGTAAGGATATCATTTATGTGAAAATAATGCTCACTATGTTGTTAGAGCTCTACTGGAAATAATTTTGTCCAGCCCTATTTCTATTTAGCAGTATCAGTAACTATAAATTAATTCATTAATTGATCTTTAACCGACTATAAATCTGATGTATGTTCTATTGGGTTATATGAAGGTGGTTTTTCACAAAATATCTGAAATGGTTATTTTTCTAGGTTGTGGAATCAAATGCAGAGTAACACCACTGGAACTTGTATTTGTCATTGACAGTTCCGAAAGTGTTGGACCAGACAACTTCATTATTATAAAAACTTTTATGAAAACAGTCATTGACAAGGTGTTGGCCAATCACGCTACAACCCGTATTGGCATTATCAACTTCAGCCATAAAGTGGAGCTGGTGTCTTCTCTGAAGCAGTACACAACAAAAGAATTCCTGAAATCAGCTGTTGATAAAATGCCCTACTTAGGAGAAGGCACGTACACAGCTTCTGCTATCCACGATGCCATTCAGTTGTTTCAGTCAGTACGCTCGGCAGTAAGGAAAGTGGCTGTTGTAATAACAGATGGACAAGCAGACGTTCGTGATAAAATACAACTGGACACTGTAGTGAGGGAGGCCCATGCTACAAATATTGAGATATTTGTCATTGGGATTGTTCAAAGGACTGATCCTCATTATGATGATTTTCTGAAAGAAATGCAACTCATTGCAACAGACCCTGATGAAGAACATGTCTACCAGATAGATGACTTCATGACGCTTTCAGGTAAAACAAACTATTTTAGTAAGAGGAAACTTGAAATAAGCGTATTAGAGAGTTTGGCCTGTCCTGGAGGAAGGCAAGGCAGCCTGCTGAATGGCAGCTTATGTTTCCCTTTTGGGTGCAGCTCTTCTGTTTCTCTTCTTCTTTGGCCAAATGAAACCTTTGCCAATTTTTTACCTCTTGCAGAAACAATAAAACACCATGAACAGCAGTTTTCGAGCTGAGGTCTTCTTTGGGGCACTCCTCTTTTGAGAGAGCATGCATCAGCCTTCCCTTGCACTCCTTTTGTGCTTGGCCACCATCTCATCCCAGAGAGCTGCAGATTTCTTTCCACCTTGACACAACATCTCTGTCTCTCTTTCATATGGCTCTTGGCAGTCTTGGAGTCCCTTCATTACATCTTACAAGCACGCTTTCAGGTTTTTTTCTGAAAGCCATAGGGAAACCTATGCTTTTATCCTGACTCCAGGAGAAAAGTGGTGGAGCACCATAGAAAGGGATCAGGTCTGATAGTACATTGTGTATTTCAAACCGTGGCTTGAAAAATCTGTGGCCACACCTGGAATCAGGAAAAAAATCCAGAGGGAAACCTATAATGACCCATGAAAAAAAGTACATTGTTCTATACTAACTGTGGACTGGCCCTATAAAGTACATTTGTCCTGAGCATGAACTCATTTTCCTATGTTGAGCCTGTGGATGGAGTTAAGTCTGGATTTAATGCATTAGCTTGGACTCTGTTCTCACTGTTAAAGTTCTGGTCCCAGCCAGGGTTAAATTTAGGGCTCTGACTCAGGCTCCAGCATTCAACAGAAAATTATTCCCTGTCACTGAATTTTTTGTGCAAATAAGTAGAATGTGTCACCAAGTTTTAATTCTTCCTTCTTACACACAAACACTTTCTTTTCTTCCCTCTGTTTTTTATTCTTCACTGTTGAGCTATGACTTCTGCTTTAAAAAGGGACTTGGTATTTTTATCTGTTTCTTCTTAAAAGAACAAAAGGGCCTTAAAATCAAATAACTCAAAGAGTGTGTTATTTTATTACTTCTCATTTCCGTTTTGACATAACTTTAGAAGATCACAAGTCACTATCAGTAAAGATCTAGGGTTAATACTATGTTAAAAACTTGTGGTGAATCATTGTGACTTTTTTAAATACACTTATAATACTCTTAATACATTTCATCATTTTGTTAATCTTTTCAGCTCTTGAAAATAAATTGATAACAAAAATCTGTGACAACGTGTCTGAAGTTTACACCAGAAAAGAAAATGTTTTATCTCTATCTCCAAGTCTAAAATCTGATACGGCTAGTGAAGTTACTAATAGCCAGTTACCTGAAATGACTCCTTCGAAGATTTATGTGCTCCCTACAGAAGCTTACCCAGTAAGTAAAGCAGTAACAGTTATCAAGTGTCTTTATTTGAATTGAAATGCTCTTTATTTCACCATTCACTAGTCTTTTCATATGCAAATAATGTGTCATTTGGCTCGACCAAAATATTTGAACAAAATGAAGATTACAGAAGAAAGAGGGTAATACTGTTTCTTAGTTGCAGTAAATTTCAACAGTCCTCACATTCTTTGTAATTCTGATTCCTCTTAAAAGTCAGTTGGAAATCTTACAGCTGTGTGTCTGTTCAGGCAGATAGGTAGTTCATATGGCATTTGTTTGTGCAAGTACAATGCTTCTTGTGGTCACCCGCTCTCCAGGTGTTATTAAGCCTTCAGTATTGTTCTGCTTTTCAAGTTGGGTTGTACTTCCAGGACTCCTCACTCATGTTTCTCTTCGTTCTCCAGCTTTAAATTCCTCCTGCCCTGCATCGGGGTTCTGCTCTCCAGCACGGTGCTGCTGCACAGATAGACAGGACAGGACAGGTGGAGTTTTATTGCAATAGATAAATGTGTTCTGCAGCTATTTATCACCGCAGTTCTCCTATTAGGTCTTCGGTATTTTCAGCCACTGTCTTAGTACCAGAGTAGGGTATTTGTCACCTTCACAGTGACAATTATCATTTTATTACCATAGCTGATAATAAAAACTGAGTGTTGCTTGCCCCTGTAACCTTTGAATAAACTACTGAAATATTTGATGTATAAATGTCCATAACTGCATGGAATGGATATAGCGGACCACGATACCGGAATTTAAACATCAAGTGAATTTAATGCAGATTGGAGCTAATGAAATATTACTGCCTTACTGTGGAGGAGTCAGTGGATTAGCCAATGTTAATCCTTGGGATTATTGTGTACGTAAATATCATTAGTAATTGAAACTCACTTTAAAAATTCAGTTTAATTTCTGTGAATGAGCGATCCCTCAGTAGATGTGACTGATGTAGGTTTGGGGCTTGTAGTACCTCCAGCCAGGTTTGTATGACACCAAGGGTCAATTCTGACATTCTGTATTATTAACAAAAATTAATGTAAACCTGGATTTATAGATGCTGACATTTACAAAGCTTGTGATAAGTATCACAAATACTCAGGGATTCTAAATTCTAAGGGATTAGATACTCACACACTTGGACCTGGCTGGCTATGCTATAGTTAAATCTTCAAAATTACTGAATTACTATCAGAAACAAACTCAGCCATTTTAGACCTGCAAAGAAATGCAATAATGCAAAGGATTGGAGGATCTGTCGGCACATTTACGTGTCAGCTAGATTTTGAGTTTCAGGGTCCCAATGACTTTGAAAACTTTTCTTAAACTGACAGACTGTCAGAAGTGAACTGTAAATGGGAAGATGCAGAACAGTGTAAAATGTCTTCGTATTCTCAACAGGTTATCCATGTGCGGATTAAAGCCACCATTTGTACTATACTGTACACTACACTATCCTAAGACCCTTGGAAATAATCTTGAATATACTAAAACACTAGAGTGGGAAATTTTTATGCAGTCATCTTAATTTGAAGAGCTGTGTTGGCTTATTAACACTTTTACCGAGGTAAACTCTAAAATTCTAATAATTAGCAACTGGATCATCCCTCATGATTGTAGAACAGAAGCACTGATTTACCACAGAGTTCTTGCCTTTTTTTTTGTTTTTGTTTACATTACAGACTAAGTGGTGCCCAAGTTTTTGCTTCAATGGAATTAATTCAGCTTAGTAACTAAATGGAAAGGCATTACCTCGCCTTCTCATGCAGCTCTCAGCATCAGAAAATGCATTTGTTACAATTATGGTCACCTGCAGAGTAATCACAAGAAGGACACCCAAAGCCACCTGTCATTAATAACGTGTGAAAAGCACCAGCAGTTTCCTGCATACTCTCTCAAACTTTTCTCAACTTTTTTTTTCTTTTTATTAAGTTATAAGACAGAATTTTAAGTTATAAGATTTTGACTCCTTTTGCAGCTTAGTCCACCACAGAACGGATATACGGAGCTCCTGTCATCTGGTCAAGGTCACACTGCGACCATCTCTTCTCAGAGGGAATCAAAATTTCCCCCGCTTCATGAGATACCTGAAATGAGACCTCAGAATGCAGTTACCACTCCATTGTTCAGTGTAACTGCTGCTCAAGATCACCACCCAACTGTGCTGCGACCACCAGCGGCAACAACTCAGAAAGGTAAGTAATAAGTACTGTCCTCAGATAGCAAGTCTGCACTAAAACCAATCAACCAGCAAACCCCAGTCTCTGCCCCCATATTGTTACTGGATTTTATGTTGGTTTGGGGTTTGTTTTTTTGTTTGGTTTTTTTTTCCTGGATGCTCTGGCTGCAGACACCATGCACAGTGAAAGTCAGAGTTTCAAACCTAAATGACAACCCTTGTATCCCAATTGTGTGCTTAGGTATTTAAATATAAGTTGGGTTTTTACATCAGGATTGAGGTATTCTTGTTTCAAACTGATCCTGTATTTTAGACCTGTTCCTTAATAGAAATGAAATTTGTCTACAAATCTGAGAACAGCATATATGCTCACAGGCACTACAAGAAAAAAAACGGGGTGCTTTTCTTACTGAAGGAGGCACTTCTAGAATAATCTAACTTATCTCCAGATTCCAAGCTAACTTTTACTGCTGTACCTTCAGATCCAAGGTGTTTGGAGCCTTTCAAACCAGGAGATTGTCGGAACTACGTGGTGAAATGGTATTATGACAAGAATAGCAATTCTTGTGGCCAGTTCTGGTATGGAGGTTGTAATGGTACCAACAATAGATTTGAAACAGAACAAGAATGTCAAAAAACCTGCGTTGATTGGTGAATAAGTAAGTTGTCTCCATCGGATCCTCTTTCAATCACCTCTTTTCTAGGCAAAAAGGAAATTCAGTCTACTTAAGTGTGTCCCATTCTTTACATACCTATTGTATCATCTTTTATACCTTTGATAATTTCTCTGAACTTTTTTGAGATGGTGGGACCAGAAGTGCACTTGGTGGTTATGGATTTATAGTCACCCAGTGAGGTTTTCTACTTTGTCCTCTACTCCTTACCTTACAGTTTCTAACTTTGTATTTGGTATTTTGACCATTATTGAGGTTGGAGGTGATTTTTTTTCCAGAGATCATAATCCCAAGACCTCACCTATAGTAAACTGAGAACTCATCATATTATATGTGAATTTAGAATCATTTTTTCCCTGTGTATTGTTTCATATTTATTAAAACTCCATTTTCCTGTGCCACTTGCAGCCTACGCGGTCAGTGTCCTGCGATTTCTTGCAGTCGCCCCTTTTCTTTACTTTTCTTTTCTTTTTCAGAGTAACAGTATTGCCACAAACTTTGTCACCTCGCTTTTTACTCCCTTCTCCAGGTCACTTATGACTACATTGAGTAGGACAGACTATAGCATACATCCTCCAGTGACTTCTCTCCACTGAATATTTATTGCCTTTTCTTTGTTTTCTTCTTTTCACCATTTACAAACTAGAAGGCTGTCCCTCTCAAACCGGCGTACCTTTCCTTTGGGGAGGGAGGGACCTTATGTTTTGGAAGTCCAAGCAGACAGTATTAACTGCCTTAGGTCCACATGTTCAGTGAGGTGCGGACTTCAGAGAGCTTGCTTAGCAGTAGTGCATAACTTCCTGGACAGAAGCCATATAGCTCATCGCCAGTAAATTGCATTAGATACTTTATTGCATCTTTCCATGCAGGAAAGCGATATTGAAGTGCAGCATGCTGTTTTTTTAAATACTTAAGGAAATTAATCAATTCCTTATTTCTTCTAGGAATGACTGCTGTTTGGAGCTTCTAAAGCTGAAAGTTCATGTGTATTGAGGAAGAAATGACTGAGAAGAATCCAAAATTATGTGTTAACATGAATATATTACTACCACGCTCTACTGCTTTCCCCACCATGGCATTCACATTAACTAGATTCCTGTACAACGTATGTTATCTGCAACACCATAGCAATAACTTAAAACCACACATACACACACAGAGGAACAATCCTTTTCCCTCCCAATTCATATTAACTTGTTACTACTACATGAGGCAGTGATGAAATTCTGGTTTTAGGATTAAGGTGTCAAAAGTGTTTACATTTAGCGTTTAATGACAGAGGTCTCTTATTCTCTTGGATGAATACAATATGCTCTAGTTTTAAACAAGAGTAAGTGGTTCCTGAAATTAGCACGCGTAATACAGCATTTAGAGACATAAATTAAGATTTCCATTAATTAGAGTACCTCTTTGGAATATAAATACCACAGCTATAAGTAATTAGAGGTTAACCCTCCCCCATTAACGCACAATTGGATTAATATCAATATAATCTGTTCAGTTTTAAAGGTAAGACTTTAATGTAATTCTGAATTAAAAACAGGATTCTTCGTGTTCTTTAGGGTAGACAATACACTTCAGTTTCTCAGGGCCTCTGTGTTAAATAAAGTTATTTCACTCTAATATATGCTATTAAATTAAAAAAGGGAAAAGCACTGAAAGATGTATATAAATGTTTACTTATATCCTCTCTATTTTTAGCCATAATCCTATACGAAAGTATCATTAAAACTGAAAATGATGAGCATGTGATTAAAATGGAATTAAATACCTGAGAGAGTCATGCACTGTTCTTTCTTTGCAAGCAAACAAATTGGTACCCACACAGGCAGCATGGACAATTCTGGATATGTTTAAACAATTGCTTGCACAATTCTTCCCCTCCATGTAACCAAATGATAACATTGTGCCATGCAAAATGAACTTGTTTACAGCAGACAGGATGCAAACTTAATTCTGTGGACAGCTGTGCTTAAAGCAGAGTTTAAAAGGTTTTAATTTCTCTTCTTCCCCACCCCCCCCCCCCCCCCCAAAAAAAAATTGGTACTGTCAGTGAGTTTCAAATTAGAAAAGACAAAAAACTGACAGCAGGCCCCAAAAAAATCCTGCTATTATTATACTCATAACCAATATGATGATCACTTAAAAAAAACTAAGGACACAATTAACTTCTGTTTGACATGGAACCTTGTGCTATATGTCCTGAAAAGGAGCGGACTCAGTGGGGTAGAACAAAAGTCAAGCTGTTGAAATCAATAACTAGTTTCCTTTCGCAGAAAAAAAAAACAAACACCAAAACTGAAAGTAAAATTTGGCACAGCTCTCCCTGTCTCACAAATCTCTGCTTTCAGCAGCTGTAATCTCCCCACATGCGACAGGGAGGGAGAAGAGAGATCTTCACGTTTTATTGGCATGGCAAAGGGGATTTCTCCAACATCCGGCATGGTTAAACCTGGGACACAAAGAAATCTACAGTTCTTTTCACAATAAAAATAGTTAAGTGTATTGACAAGAATAAATCTGGCAACCAGAAGGCTCAACATGTGAGTAAACCTCCCCAAAACAGATTTGGATCAACCTTAAAGTTGCTGCAAACACCTGAGATTAGCTGTTAATCTCAGGTGCTGCTGGAAGCGTTTGGGCTGCTGCTCCTCTCTCAGCAGGCAGCAGATTAAAGCTTTCGGGAGACTTAAAATCCTGCCAGAGTGGTAAATAATGAGCAACAATTCCAACCAGGCCCCAGGCCATGCCTGGGTACCTCCCCTTCAACAGCCGGGCTGGGGAAGGTGGCTGCATGGAAAGCATGGCTTTGGAGAAGGATTTCGGGGGGGTCTGTGGTCTGGTTGGTGGCTGGTGCAGCCCTGGCTCGCTGAGCACACAGGCGTGGGTGTGGAGAGCTGGGCAGGGCCGGAGGCTGCGAGTCATTAGCGATTTTTCCATGGAAAGCAAACAGCCAGTGATTTTTCCGAATTACCATCATGACATAATTGGCAATTTAATCTATTTCTTGTTTCGTTCAGGGCAACTCCCTAGTGCAGCATGTTTCCTCAAAGGATCGCAGCTATCTGTTTTAACTACATTGTCATTTAATAGGGAGAATCTATTTCTGCTGACCAGAAGGGCTGTATTTTCCAATTAATTCAAGCATAATGAGATTCACATATAAAATATGGCTTTAAAAATTAATATTTTCATTGCAGTCACCCTCAGAGAACTAGACTAGGAGTCTGTCAGGCTGCATAACTCCGCAGATCATAAGTTACATGCAGCACAGGCTGCCAAAACACACGTCACCATGAGAAGGAGAAAGCAGACTGACAGGGGCGGTGCTGAGGCAGGACTCTGCTCCTCCCAAAGGGAATATCGCATCATCAAATCTTCCATTTTTGTTCTGCATGAGCCATACAATATGGTCAACCAAAAGTCACAGTAACCATGGATACTCTAGAGAAGGTATGTGAACTTGTGAGAGTCAAAACCACTCTTCGAGCAAGATCCTTGAAAATGCAGTAGTCACGTGACAGGCTTTTTTGACATGCTCGGTGATGTGTTAGATTTGTTTACAATTCAAAAAGGAAATTTTCAACCAGTTTAGAAGAAAAATCACCCAACAAGAGTTCCCTTCAGTAAGTTAAAGTCCACGTCAGTAATTTACGTTAACGTGTAGTAAGGACGTTGTACTGGTCCCCAAGTCAAGCATTACAGAACTTGCCACGTCAGCAAAAAGAAATCCCAGCATCTTAAACGATGCAGCTGCAGTACAGGGTCCCAGCTTTATCCTACAGTGCCACCAGCAGGAAAACAACAAAATGCCTCTATAAAACAAACAGCAAGACATCAACAGGTTTTTACAAACCATATTGAAGTAATAACTTCCAAAACTCAGCTCGGCTGGTTGAGGACTTTTGGATCATGTCTTAATTAATCTCACAAAATTACCTGTTCTACTTGGCACTGTAGCTACCTCATGCTCCTTGGCCTCGGTTGTCTTAGGACTGATGCCTCAACAGGACATTGTGTAAATGGGATGTTCAGCAAGCCAGGTACTGCGCTTTGCAGGGACAAGGCCTACCAGGTATTTACATGGAAGCAGGAACACAGCCTCAAAAGGGCCCTTACACCCTAGCATGAAAGCCAAAGAGCAACATACCCCATAATCACGTCGTGAACTCCCTTGCAGCACCCCACTTCATCTATTACCACTGCAGTACTGCTGAATTTAGCAAATGTACAGCTAAGCAATACATGTCAAGCCTAGGAGCGCTTTCTGGAAGCCCAAGCACGTAGGGAAGTCAGGGCTCGGTATAACAGCAGCGAATGAGTCCCTGGCCCCAGGCTACTTCTCCAGTCCAAGTCCCAGTGGAGAATGTGTCACGCTGGAAATGAAGCTGTTGCACAGTAGCAGCCTCTACTCTCTGCCAGATTAGTCACCTGGTGATCCCAGGTTAAGGGCTCCAGAGCTCATGAGCTGCTGTGCAGGGAGGCGGAGGAGGTCTGAGACAGGAATAAAGACTTCAGCCTCTGCTTTTGGATGGTGCCTGGATGTGCCCAGCGTGACCCCTCCTGGATACTAGCTGGGGTACAAGCTGAACTACCTCCCTACCCCTACAGGCAGCTCCAACCAGCACTGCCCCAATACCCCTGTTCTCTGTACAGCCTTCTCACGCTACTGCTCTGAGAAGGCGGCTTCATTCTGGGAACATCGTTTCATTTCTGATTTTACTTGGTATAATTTGCACAGAGAAGTATTTTTACTTATTGTTCCCTGTACATCCTGTTCTGTAACAGAAGCTCCTTCCAGCTTTGGAAAGAGCAGCAGCAGAGCAGCGATGGGAGAGGGCAGCACGAACATCCGATCTAGAAGTAATGTGTGATATAAAACTCGTTCCATCGCATCAGGATCGCTCTCAGGCGCATGCTGACCTTTCACACAACACAGGAGTAGCACACCTCGGTCTCCAGCTCTCCTCTGCTTGCCAGC